CCCGTCACCCCCCCCCACCCCCCCCCCACCTCAGGGATGGTCTGGTCAATAATGACAATTTTTTCGATAGCTCAGCCATTTCTTGACGGATCCTTCTCATCTTTGAACTCGACTGAGATATTGATGAGATCATTCTGTGTACAAAATTTCAAGACAATTGGATGAGGCTTTCTAGAGTTATCGTGTTGACGATCGGACGGACACCCTGACCGAATCTAGTGTACTCACTTTTTGAGTACACAATATATATATATATATATATGTATATGACTGGTCTAAATATGTAACGTCTTATCTTGTTGTAGTGTTCCTCTCCAGTTAGTTTAAATTCCCCCTATTTTTATTTGTGTCAACATATTCGTACAATCAATATAACTATCAAATTGAACAGATATGCCCATTTTTTGCATCGTCAACATTTAAAAACAAATATTTTACAGAGAATAAAATAAGAAAACTAATTTTGTTTAATATTTGATATTTCAAGACTATAGTCATCATCACCTACTAATGAATAAAACATAATCTCGAGTGACGAGTCACGCCTGAAAACGTTCGCTGATTACACAAAAACATTTAAAGAGGGTCTTAGCTAATGAATACGATGTACACTCAAATATGTTTCTACTAAATTATTAGAAAACAAGAATCATTCATTCGAAAAATCAGACTTTAGAATGAAAACGGAATTTTTATGTTTGAAAAGAAATTTCTTTCTTTCAGCTATGATAATAAATATAGTCTGGCGTTTTCCGACCAACAAAAAAAAACTTCGCCTTTTTCTGAATGGAATTACGAAACGATATATTACAAATGTATCTCAAGTACCAGTGGATCGATTTATTCGGCAATGCTACTCGTAAATATGTTATAATTTACATCATTTTAGTGAAATTCAATTTACTTTAAAGAGTATTAGAAGTTGATCCTTCTTGTTGTGATGAAACAGCAATTCGTAAAGCATACTTAGAAAAAGTCAAACAATATCATCCAGATTCATCATTTCAAGATAATCGAGGTGATCATACAAAATTTAATCAAGTACAACAAGCTTACAAAGCACTGATAGTAAATATAAATTTGTTTTTATTTTTTAAAAGAGAAAGCAAAATTTTATTTTTCTCTTAAAAGGAAACACTAAAATCAAATAATTCTCTTGATCCATCTTCAGCAGACGAGGATTATGTCAAATTTGATATTCGTCATACAGCTCCTCAGCATCGAACACATTTAGAATATGGTGGTTTCGGGTTAGTTGCCTGTGGGTTTTTATTAAGAATTTGTTTTTCGTATTTAATCTTTAATGGTCTTCTTTAGCATGGGAACGCCAAGTCACAGACAAACTGCGTATTACAAAATGCGGGCTGAAAAAGCATACGAAAATGTGTACGAATATCGTCGAGATCGAGAATCAATTGAAACAAGAGATGAACTAATTGAAAGAAAGAAAAGAAAAGATGTTCGATCTACGTAAATTATTATTTTCATCAGTGAAATAAAGAAATATTTTATAATTATATAGAAATTTTATTGATCGTCTTGTTGAAGATCTTATTCAAGAATCAATGTCACGCGGTGATTTTAATAATATAAAATCAAGTGGAAAAGCATTACACGAACGCAATCCACACTATATGGATTTTACTACATATAAAATGAATGAAATTCTTATCGACAATGGTAAAATGAACTAGTACTAAATTAGAAATTTTATTCATTTTTCTTTTCAATATTTTAGGTTATATACCTGAATGGATTCAACTTGAAAAACAAGTTCGAGAATTCATTGAACAAGCACGTATAGATTTGAAACGTATTTTCAAAGCAATTGCTTCTGAAAATTTACAATCGCCTGATGAAAAGAAAAGCTACTTAACAAGTAATATTAAATGGGCACAAGCAATAGCGAAATTTCGTAATGATATTATTGAAGTTAATCTTATTATCGATAAAATCAATCTAATTGTGCCGATGCTTTGGCGACAGCAGGTACACTATAATGCTGATCGAGAAATTGCAAAAATTGTTGCATTGAATCCGTTGAAGATCGAACTACCACCAAGTGAAGAAGAATTAGCACAGATTCATAAACAAACATTAGATCAACGACATCAAGAATGGATCAATCATCAGTCAACTCAACGTTATTCTGTATTTGATGCTATACGTGATTTAGTTCAGTCATTACGAAATTTTAAAGTTTAATTAATTTATGAGTCTACTACTTTTATGTTTTAATATTTTTTTATTCTTTCCCATGTAAAAAGAAATACAGAGATGTAGTTTTTGTAAAAAAAAACGTTTATTCAAGCATAATGTTATCTGTTTCTTAGAAGATGAGAATTAATGAAAATACAAACTGCTAATTACTGGTATTTTTTTTTGTATTGAAGATGGATTCTTTGCTCATCGATGGATCTGATCCAAATGGCAATGGCCATCATCAAAATAATAACAATATGAAATTCTCACCTAATTCATTATTTGATCGAGACACATTGGCTAGTTTATTTCTCGGTAATCAAAGTCCAACATCAGGTGGTGTTTCAACATTAGTTGACGAATGGGCTGATAGTGCAGGAGAATTACTTGTTGAATTAGATAATCTTAGTATGCTTAGTCAAATTTGTGACAGTGTACCAAGACTACCACCCAAACCAACATCATCAAATCGTTCAAATGATGAAACCAAATCGTAAACATAAAATTTTAATATAAATATTTATTTATTCATTTATTTATCATTTGCTTGTAGTTTATCTTATTCACAACAACCGAAGCATTTAACATTTCGAGATATTCTGGCTTTTTGGCAATGTTATGATCAACTTTATATTGAACAATATCAATATGATCGACGATATTCATCAGCAGTTATCGATCAAGCAGTTAATAGTTTTGACACGTCTGAGTATGATATTCTTTCATCATCATCATCATCATCTCCACCAAGATTGCCTTCATATAGACGATTCAATTCTCAACATGAATATGAACGTTTATTTAATGATTTCTCATCAGTATCGAATGATGAACTCGATGTGTGCTTATCTGTTAATAATAATAATAATAATAATAACAATAATAACAACAACAATAATAATAATAATAATAATAATAAATCTGGTAAAGAGAATTTTTTTATTTTTTTAAAGATATATATTGACCATTTGTTTGTTCCATAGGTGATATGAGCAATTCAGCTAAAATATCAATGCTGTCGAAACTTTTACCTATAACAACACATTCATCTCCAGTACCAACTGATAACGATCTAAATTCATTTGTTGCTGATCTTGATCCACGACCTACACCAAATATCAATGATATTCTAGCTAATTTAAAAGCTGGTTTGATTGAATCTAATCTTCATTTGCCATCATTTGATGAATCTCATCTTGATCTTCCACGGCAACGTTCATCTCTCACTCACAATCGTCTTATATCATCGTCTATTATAAATAATACAACTGTACCATCATTATTTATCAACGAAATTGAACATATACGTCTTGTTGATTTGTCAAAAACTTTATTAAATAATCTTCCATTATCAACAATAAAGCACTATGCTAAATTATTACAATGTCCGATTGTAATGTGTCCTGAGTTTGTACGTGATTTTTTAATGCGTAATAATCGTCAAGCAAGTACATCACGTTCATGTTTTTGCACAACATTAAATGATACGAGATTAATTTATGCCGAATTAATTGCTGCTAATGTGCCTTTACCAGTAACACAGAAAGAAGAAGATTTATTATTATTAACAAAAAAACGTAAACATGCTCCACCAAAAGGATGGGAAGATGGATCAAGTGATATGATTATAACTGTACCACAAGTTAAAAGACATAAGCCAAAATTAGATTATTCAACAATTATACTTGATCACGATTATTTAAATGCAGAACAAATGGCTAATTTATGGAAGCGCCCATCGAAAAAACCTGTTGTTACTATACCATTGCCTGTACCACTTCCAATACCAACAACAGAACCCGAAGAAGAACTTAGCTTTATGGAATGTTCTCCAACACCACCAGTTTCAGCAACACCTTCTCAAATATCTGTAATAGCTCCTGCTCTTTCTCTACCACCACCTCCACCTCCTCCTGCACCAATTCTTTTCAAATTAAGAGACTATTTTGATTCTCAACCATTGCCACCAACACCAACATTTTATGATACTTATTCTGACGAACAATTTCTGCAGATCACTCGACATCCTTTAATAATTTTATCACAGACACAACTTGATTATTTACTAGGTTATCTCTATCGAGATAATCATGACGTATCACTTATTGACAGATATCATTTGTATTAGTAAATAATATTGTTACCTACTAATGAGAGAATTTGTTAAGCGCAATAAATACATGTATGTCTATGTAAACTTTATTTTACCTTTAAAACAATGCTGCTATAGAAAACAACGACTGTGATAGCATATCTGCATTTAATAGAAAATTTAGAATAAGAATATTCTTTTAATACGTTTTCGTTTCGATTTATTTTCAAATATACGTAAATGAATTTTATTTATTAATAACATATAATGTAAAATTGATCTTCATTATAATCATCATTTAAAAAATGGCATATATGTAAGTTCAGCAAAACAGATATTTCAACCTACTTTATGAATCACAGCTCTTTCATTTAAAATAAATACTTAAATAGAACTGACCCAAAAGATAGCACATATTTGAATTATGAACAAATACATAAGAGAAACTGAAAAACTTATTCATGTAAAAATGTTATGATCAGTATAGCATCTGGAAAGAATATACACGTCAAATATCCAACGAATTAAGATAATTGTTTTTCATTATAATTTACGTATTTATTGTCTCTTTTGAGACGAAGATATTTCCTTATCAAAGAAAACTATTAGATTCTACATCTACAGCATATATCTACACAGAATTAATAAATTTGTCTTTCCATAAGTTCAAAATAGACGACCAACGTATATTATTTTCTATTGGTTAAAATATTTGAATAACATTAATATCGATATAAATATTCGAAAAAAATATTCAACTTTTCTTTTCTGCTTACTATTCACAATACAAAACAAAAGTACTTGATACGCTTTGATATATCCTTGTATGTCTACTAGATCAAGGTAAATCAGAATAAACAAAATATTCATTGAATCGAACATATTACATAAACAATACTATTAATTAAAAATAAACTATCAACAGAAGTTCATGATGCCACTAGTTGACTGTGCCTAAGATCTATACAAACACAAAATATATTCTGATAAGTTATGTTGTGCCAGACAAAAACAAGAAACGGTGAATGAGAAAAACAGTGGAAAATTCTACTATTCACACTAGAGTGTTGCGTTCTTTTCTTTTCCCTTTTTCGTCTTGTGACGCACTTCTCGTTTCGTCACAACGCGTCAGTTTTTCTTTCTTGTTTTACTCTTATTGGTGGTTCTCTTCGAATTTGTCTTGGATAAAATGCCGTCTGATTCATTGGATGTACAAGCATTAGTACAAAATTGCCGTTATATTATCCGAGAAAGGTTTTTCACAATAAGTAACAGTTTTAAAATCAAAGATGAACTAGGACGTGACAAATATAATGTCAGATCAAAAAAATTGGCATTGGGTAGAAAGCTCATATTTGAAGATATGAATGGCACGTAAGTTAAAAATAAATATTGTCAAACGCTTTAAGACATCATATTATATGTTTTAGTGTTCTTTTGAAAATCCATCGAAAAGGATTTCATTTACTTGATCAAATTAGTATTTTATCAGCTGGTGATAATGAACTTAATCAACAAGTGGCAACCATTAGACAGAAATTTACTTTTTTTAAGCATAGTTATAAGATTTATTCAATTTATGGTGAATATAAATTAAAAGGTCTCAATATATTCGATCAAGCATTTATATTAAAGACCAAAGATGGTGAAACAATAGCAACTGCAAATAAGAAGATTTTTGCAATGGTCAACATCTATCAAGTTGAAATAATGGATTCAAATAATGATAAAAAACAAGATCATTCATTTATTTTAGCATTAATTATTGCTCTACATTGTTCAATTTACTCTCCATAATCAAAGTTGGGTTTTGTTCTAATATTTTTGTTTATATGTATAGAAAAATATGTGCTTATAATTATCAAGATCTTTGTTGCTATCAAAATATGTAATTGTATTACATAATTTTATTTAAAATAGCTGTAGTATTTGCAAAGAAAATTTTAAATATAGCACTTTTAAAAAATATCTTTTCTATCATACAGTTTTTACAACTCATTGAACAGAAAATGATTTAAAACTTTAATCGGATTACCTAAGAAATGTTATCATAATACGTTATTCTGTAATTGTATAAAAAAATTACTTCATTACTATTCATACTATTTGAAAACCACTAGATGGTAATAGTTCTACTCGATACAATGTAGTTTACATTAAAATTCCCTAATCTCATTACTTACTGTTCAAACTAATATTTTTAGAGAAAATATTTCAAGCTTTTTTCAAAACTTTTAAAACTAGTTCTTTTATATGAAAAATCAGAATTGAAATTGAAATAGATAAAAGTAAAATGATTCTCATTCATGTTCATTAGATAGGATTTTGTTATGAATGCGTAAATTAACGCTTATTATATCAGTATTTGAATTCATTGACTATCCTGCAATGAAGTTCTTCGAAATCGTTACCCAGTGATATGAAGACTATTAATGCATTAAATAAAATGTCATTCACACAATTCAACGGTCCTAATAAATATTCGAAACATGAAAATTAATTTTTGATAAAGTACTTCAAGATAATGATCAACTAAATGATAATGTATTAATAATATTTTCAATCACTTTCATCGATTGAATCTTCATGTTAGACACTTGTTTATACAAGACGAGAGAATATGAGTGAATCGAAATCCGAAATAGGAAAATTAAAATGATCGTCAATTAGCAAATTCTTACATTTTAGCATATAAAAAATATTATAAAAGAAAACTTAGTAATTCAGAATACTTAAGTATACATTTATTTTTAGGTTGATAATCAAGTTGCTTCTAGTTACTATCCCAATAAATAGATTTCTCAATGATAAAGAGAGTGCAATCTATTTAGCTTATCGCCTAGCCTCAAAAGTATTCAGGACGATGATATAGACTATTTCTTCCGCGTGAAATTAGACAACACACTGACTACATTCGCAGATTCTTTTAATTATATTGTAAATAAAACATTCATTTCAATCTATATAATATTTCGAAGTTTAATTCACTCTTTTGTCAGTCAACGCAAAATATACTTTAGAAATATAGCTTTAAATTGAATCAGAGACTTGAATGAATATTAAAATTCAATATTTTGATGGAATCTCTAATGAATTTCTTCATCACAGAAATTATGCTTTGGCAAAATAAAGATGAACTGTATGATTCAGGCTACCACTAATTTTGAATTAGATGTAAACTACTCTACTTCATCATTTGAATTCGATGTATACTTCACATAAGACAGGCTTAACTAAAATAGAAAGAGATCTGATATTCAAAAGAATGAATAGAAAAAAGAACAAAAGAAAAAGTACGAAAAAAACAATGTTTGGTAAAGATCAATTATCATTCACTATATTACAGTGATTGGATTATCGACATAAAAACGAACCGTGTACACGATTTACTGTCCGCGGATTTACTGTCCACGGATTTACTGTCCATTGATTGGAAAAATTTTATTCCAATTAACGCTATTTTTATACGAGGATTTACTGTCCATTGATTGAATAACTTTTTTTTTCAATTAGCGTTTTTCTCGTTTGAGGATTTACTGTCCATTAATTGCTTCGAAGAAGAGAAATTAATAAATAAGTAATGGTCTTGACAGCCAATCCCTTTTCTGAGGAAAAAATTACATAAATGTGGAAAAACAAAAAAGTCACCAATGAATGAACTGTTGAATAAATTTTCAATTTAAAATGACGGATGCTCATCAAATTGGGGAGTAAAATAGTCATTAATATGACAAAAATTTATAATAAATACATATAAATGCAAAGAATATAATTTTCTTATCATACTCTTCCTAAAAATGTCTGCTATATTTACTGAATCTACTCATGGTAAACGACAATTCTGCTACCTCGACTATCGATATTCCATCATTCTGAAAAGCTGCTGGACTTAGATATTGTCAGCATCTACCAAAAAGTTGAACATCCATTCATCTTTGTTGGTTTATTTATTAATCAATTCCTTATTCTCTTTGTTATTTCCTCATATATTTGTTTGAATTCTTTTTTTTCTTCTAAACATACATAGTTGATTGCGATAAATATTTTTCTGTTCATGTCTATTCTTCGAGGCAATCAATGGACAGTAAATCCTCAGCAGCAAAAATTATACTTTTTGTAGAGAAAAAACAATTTTCTAAGAAAAACAATCAATGGACAGTAAATCCTGTAAACCAAAACGAACATATTTTTAACATATTCAAGAGTATTCTTTTAGAAAAAAATTACGTTAGACATTATATTCATGAATTCTAGCAGACCGATGTATAAATATATATTTGGAATCCGTCTAGTTTTTCAACAAACATTTTTTTTTATACATCTGCAGTGTTCAGTAATTATTTTGAACAACAAACTAACTCTTGCTTAAAGAACATAAATAATCTTTCGTTCAATGATTTATTATTTACTTTTTCTGTGATCTATGTTATATGTACATCTTTTTTTTAGAAGAAACTTCGATTCTTTGAAGAGCTGATACAAAAAAAATAGTTTTCAAAGTATATATTCGCATAATAGTTTAATTAGTGTACATTTTCAAACAGTAAAGTGATACAGTTTTTTTAATATTTTAACTATAAATAAATAAAGCTTGCTATTTTCTATACAAAGATATTCGATTAGAATAATTAAAGAAATATAAATCAAGAGAAGCGCAAATGTTTTCTATATTGATTGAATTGTGATTTTGTACTACATAAAATAATTTAAAAAAACCAAACCAACCATTAGCGTCTCTATTGTCAAAATTAAATTAAAGTTACATAAAATTTTAGTACTGCCTTTTTCAAAAATATTTTCTGCAACAAAAACCTAACAAACGTTATTTTTCTATCAAGAAAAATAACTATTCATATATGATTCATCAGCATCGTCAAAATAAAAATGGCAGACAACTTTTCTTTGGACCCCCATCAAATATGTAAACATCAAATGATTGTCATCTATTAATCAACTTCATGATTGCCAACTGGAATATGTCATGCAATTAATTGTACTATGATTATGACTGCGTTTCCATTCAATTACCAGTAGGGGCAATCTAAGAAAGAGTAAGGCAGTCGGAATCTTATTATTTTGGCTTTAGAAACCATTGTTGAAGTTTTCTTTGATTTTACTATTGTGGGAATCAATTTTCTCCTACTTCACACAATACTCTCCTATGAAATGCTTTTACTGCTTCAGATTCAGATAGTTTCTAATAAGCAGTATGATAAAGAAATTTGATCTAATCGAGTATGAAATTATCTGAGAAAACGAACTGTGCGGCGAAATTAGCTTGTCAACTTTCTGTTCGTATTCAATGAACTGTTTATTAACTAATCGAAAGGTCTTATAATTTATGCTTTTGAAATAGAAATTACCATGATGTTTTTCGTTTACAATAAGAAACTTCCGATTTTTTTTCTTATATACCAACACTGCTTTACTGCATTAAAACGAACACACGTAGGAAAAAAATAGATAAAAATGTCTTGAATATAGTTCAAGCAAACCTATCATTCAAGTACAATTCTATAAAATTTTAGATGTCGCAATAAATCAAGATATAAATAATATCGTCTTTTTGTTTGATCTCTCAAATCAATCAATTTATAATCAAATTTTTCTCTTTAAAAGATAATCAATTTTTTTCAATCGATTCATAAACACTTAGCGTTTAACAAGTTGGACTCCCAATTATTTCGTTTATATTTGATCTATCTATTATTTTACTATACAAGAAGATTAAAATTAGATGCTAATGATTTACTGACTGATGTGAATGATCATTACAGTATTTCTAAAATGAATTCACTTATGCACTTGTGTAGTTGACTTTTAAATCTGGGGAAAAATAAAAAACTAGTTATACACAAAAATTAGGCGTAGCTCACAATATTTTTCTATAATAGTTTCGTTCTGCGCCTTCTACTTTTTAAAGTCTCTTAGTGTCATTCACCACCGACATACCCAGGTCGTGGCGGTACGGCGGGAAACGATCAAAAAATACGGAAAATCGTTGGTAGATGCAGTGGCAGATCTACCAGCTAGGCTACCCGGCGATCGCCACCCCCTTAAGAAATATTTTTCGATATTCCCCAACAGAAATGAAATAGAAAATAGTCGCCCTGCCTCAACTAGACTTGAAAAACTGTTTTTTGGCCAGGAGCGCCACCCCCTAACAGATTTTCTGGATTCGCCACTGGGTAGATGGAAGCAGTATTCCGGCCTGAAATTCCCGGATTTTTTTCCTGTGGATTTCGGTCAACTTCAAGTACTTTCTGACAGGAACAGACAGTAAATCATCGCGAAAAACTTCGAAAATTTTCCGACCGGAATACTGCTATCACGTTTCAGTGACTTTCCGTGTTTTCCTCTGGAATACGGCGATTTTTCCACATCTTTCCGGCGTGTTTCTACAGTATCCATTGACCAGAGCGATCGACCTGGGATCATAGATATTCTTCGTTTCATTGACTCTCCCAGGGCAATCATTCCGATCGTCGGAACGAGCATCTTCTCATGCCTGAAACGGTATAATAAGGCATTAATTTTCACCTTATTTCGCTGTAATCTGTCAGCTCATTTTACGGACCGTTTTTTCGCTAAAAAACAGTCATCGTTTTTAATGCTATATTCTTCGTTTTCCGAAATGACGGAAAACGGCGCCGTAATTCAACGTTTTACGCCGTTTACGACCAGTTACGCACCGTTTTCTTGGGCATGGGTGTGTCGATATTGATCACACGCTTGAATGATACTTCTTCTTCCTCTTTCTATTCTCTTTCCATTGTTCTAATATATATCTTTGCCGTCTCTCTCCTATATATACGTATGTTATGTATCACTGTAAAAAAAATAGAATGTCTATATGAATTCGCACAGGATATTCTAGGAATGCCTATATGAATTTAGTGATGAATTTCTACTTTCTTGAAAATCAAAAATATTGATATTCAAGTTTGGATTTTATGCGGTAAATTAAATTGAATTTCTATTGTTTGGAAAATCAAGCATTTTCTAAATAGTAGCGATTCAATGAATGAATCATAAAAGTTTGAAAATGCTGTAGTTTATTTAAAGTCGATTTTCTACAAAATAGAATTTAAAAAACATTACAGTGTATGAAGTTGTTACACTCTGGATATGTGGGGAAGCGAATAAACACCATTGTCGAGAGTGGCGGCAAGCTACTCCACCTCTATCCAGTTTGTCATTAACATATCTACCCAAATAGAGTCCCATATTTATCGTTACAATGGTCTGTTGCAATTAAATGGGTAAGCAACAATAGTAAATAGGACAATAGAATGATATTCTTACATATATCACTGATTCCATATCATTTCCATAGTAACCCTCTATCATTAAACCAAATCAACTAGTGTCACCTATTCATTTTCTATGGAGCGCCAGCAAAATATATATCACACCGTGCTCCTCATTTTAAGCTGCTTCCAAATATATATAAACCTTCATACTTGGCCCGGTTTTAAAAACAAGTATTCGGTTAGTGCATTTAGAAATAACCAGTAAAAAACAATCGTCGTCCTTTCATCAGTTAGTAGATCATAAGTACATAACTATACCTTTCTTTTCTTTGCCTTGTATGGATGTTTATCGAGGTCTTTTTTCGCTGTTTCTTTCATTCTTTTATCATTTTCCTAGTCTAATTCTAACCAAAGCAGCATAACTAAATCAAAATTCAAATCATTATACTACTGACCATGAATATTTGGTATTAACCGAAACGACAGTCAAAGATAATTATATATTACTATTTCAGATAAATTATCTTAAAAAAAAACATTTCTGCTAATATAAAACAAAGCAATGGTCGAGTAAGTCAAAATAAATAATAATTATATCTCTATTATTTAATGTCTTTCATTGTCGATTTTAGTCGTCAGGTATTTATTGGAAATTTGTGTAATATATCAAATGATGTACTACGTACATATTGCGAATCATATGGTTCATTATCAGAACTCTCTATTAATAGAGATAAAGAAAATAATGTAAATTTACTCCTATCTTTTGAAATGATCATATTCTTTTTTTTATTATTCTTTTAACATTTTGAAGGTCTATCATTGTTTCGCTTTTGTTACTTTTCAATTCACTGGTAGTACCTCTGAATTTATGTCTAATCGACCACATATTATCTCAGGCGAAGAAGTATTTGTTAAACGTGCATTACCACGTACAACATCATCCATACCGGAACGGCTTATTGTGACTAATCGATTGATTTTACAAAATTTACACAAGTACAATAAACAACTTGTTCGAAGTTATTTTCAAAAATTTGGTTTTATTAAAAAAGTTGATACTGAATATGGTTTTATTGATTTTGAGGTTAGTTTTGCATCGTATTTTATTTAAATAAAGAAAAGATAACACTAATAATAATCGTAGGATTACGACGATGTTGATCGTATTTTACTTGCTCGACCACACTACATTCGAGATAAAGAAATAGTTGTAACTAAATTTGTTCCAACTGAACAAAAAGATAATCTGGATAATGCATTTATACGTTCAAATCCTCATCGATTAAGTACAAATCACACTCGACGACACACAAATAAAAATGAAGAACATGATAGAACTACAAGAGCATCGACTGATACAATCAAAATTTCATGTAGTAAAAAAGTCGAGAAAAATTCGTGCCATATAGTAAAAACAAATTGTTCATTGATAGAATTTTTTGTAAAAATATTATAATTTTTACTGATTAGACATCGAATACGAAGCAATGTGATAGAGATGGCAACGAAAATGAAGAAATGAATAGTAATTATTTAAATGATCCATATGAACATCTTGAAGAAGAATTTCAAGAATATAAAAAAGCAAAAGAAATTGAAATATGTACTTTACGAATGGATTTAGAACGTACAAAAAAACAATTAATCGGTATAACACAAGAAAAACTTAATGTTTTAATAAATAATCAAAAATGCTTTCATAACGAACTAATGCTTCGCCTATCTTCGAATGATACATCAGTTCATATACAAACAATTGAAAATCAATTGCCTTCAACTCCAGATCAAATAACAAAAAAACGAAAATTAGAAACATCATCGCCATCATCACCAATTCATCGTGAATACGACTATTATTCATAGAAGCAAAAACAAATAAATAATCGTTGGTTATTTTATTTTACTTTTACTTTTACATCTTGTTTTGTTTCCATATTCAAAGTTTCATTTTGATTTCGATTGCATGCATATATTTATATACATATAGTATTACTTATTTATCTTCGGATTTTCTTTTCTTTTTCTCGAAAGAAATTTTGTGATAAACTTCACGTACCATGTTGAATAACATTTTCTTTTCGTAAACTTGAACACAACTAACTATTCAAACCAAAACATAACTCTATGTCTGATTATATTGTTCTAATAGTTTAGATGTATAAAAAAGATGTCAATAAATCTTGGTCACAAAACATGATTCTCACGTTCAGTCGATTCCCTAGCATAGACTAGAATTACAATACATATTCTATCTTCTTTCCCTTGAATGTAATGAATTTAAAACTTATGGAAATACCACAATCAATTGCATTTGACGAGGGCAAACCTCCAGCTGATAAATTATTTTGGGGATCGAACTTCATGCATGTGGTAGACCCCATTGAAATATGAAAAAAATTTAAACTCAAAAAATATTTTCTTCTCGAGATATTAAACTCCCAAAAATCGCTGATATTTCACGAAGGATTCGAGAAATTTCTTTTTTTTTGGTAGTTTAACATCTCGACAAGAAAATCTTTTTTGAGCTTAAATTTTCAGGACATCCTACTCATAACTGGACTTGTCTATGGACGAAATCTCAGATTGCAATATCATCATTCAGGTTTTTTAATGTATATCGTGGTTATGGTAGAGGCTAAAATTCCAGTAAAATCCCTATAATTCGAAACGAACAGACGACCTATGGGTAGTTTTCCTATTGGAGCTTTTCATATTTCAATGGGGTCTACCACATGCATGAAGTTCGATCTCCAAAATAATTTATCAGTTGGATATGTTCCCTCGTTTGTTACTCAAAAATAAGACCAAATCTTCATTAAACATTCAAAATGTTTAAACAATTTTTCACTAATGTCAAAGTGAATTCTAACAAAATCAGACTTAGAGATAGCTATGATATTGACCGTTCGAATAAATAATTAAAAAAAACTATGATACGAACATTTTTGAAATAGGATGACTATATTTCATGAAGGGTAACTAGTTTTTGTTCGGAACTATAATTTAAATGAAGTCATCAATATTCAAATATTGATTTGAAAAAATACATCTATCAAATTATATTTTTGCTCATGAATTTGAAATTCTCCTCTATGAATACAAAGGTAAGATTAATTTAGAATTTTATAAAACCTCACTTAAGCTTATTTTCTTTTCAAACACATGCTGAGAATATATATTAGCGGCATTTCTTTTGGTCTTATTGTCAATTTCATTCAATTGATTCAATGAATTAAAACCAATGAAGCAAACATTTATCTTCTCAATCAAAGCATATCCAAATTGAAAAACCCCATACCATTTTCATGTTTGATTTAGTTTTCATATAAAAACAGCTCTATACAAAAATTTGTGTTCTTAAGCGTTGAAATATCATGCAAGATCTTTTTTTTTCTTCAAGATTACTACATAATTTTCTTACTATTGAATAAAAACGTAATTAATGTCGTCACAGAATTATGCGTTCTTTAAAGCATTGGAAGGTTTCAAAACTCTACTTTCTATTCATTTTTCATATTGTTAAATATGCATGTGGGCTCATCGACACAGACATGTTAAAGTAGATTTATAGAAGCATTCATCTGCGTAGACAATATGATTTTGTTAGTGAAACATTCTAATAGAACAAAATAGAATATGAAAGAAGAACGGAAAAATCTTAAACTTCTAAATAGAAGTCTACTATTATTTATCTGCATAAAACTTAATTAAAAGAGACCGAGTCGGATTTTACAAAATTTGAAATTATTAACTTTTTTCTTATCTATTGAGATTATTTTTAATCGTATTATTACAATCACCTCATGATAACTATGATTATCATTTATAGCAATAATAAATCTTGAAAACGAACAGATTTACTATTTTAGACGAAAAAAATTTATTTTATTTTAAACATAACAGAGAATTTCTATGATAATAAAAGCCTAAAAATAGAATGCTCGCCACAATAAAAAGTAACCGTGTACGTTCTGACATTAAATCTTCTATTATTTTACGGATAATAAATTGATTTTTTTAAAGCTTTTTCTATAAAATTTTGTATTAGAGACACAATCATAAACTTTAATTTGAATATGCTGAGTAGTAAGAACAAATAAATGAAATGTTATTATTTGTATTGAAGCTGTGCAACTGTATCAGCATTTTAAATTTCTTTTTCTAATATAATTTAATATAAATATGCAAAGCGAAAATCTATCTTGACGATTAAAATAACAATTAATTCTGACACCTAATCTTGTTCAAAAAACAAGAAAAAACAACATCAAAAGAATCTATCGGCATCTGAAAGCACCTTTCATGCATAACACAATACGGTTCATTGTCTTCAAAAAAGAATATATATATATACATATTCCATCTCCCCGGGATACTGAATTAAACATGATTATTCATTTCGTTTCATTTCTTCTTTTTTTCAACACATCCCTTGCAATGAATGCAACAAGCCAATTGAACAATAAGTGTAGTGCTTTGTTTGTATTATGTATTTTTACAGACAATAATAAAAACAGAAAAATATCACACATACTGTCAAATGAAACCGAATTTCATTTTGTTTGTTTTTCTAGATCATTTTTAACCATTTCGATTGTGTAGAAAACAAATCGAACGATGACGGACGTTTTTTTACAGAAAGATCAAGTGGAATATCTGACGATAATGATTTTGGACTCATTTTTTTAAATATTCGTTGACGTTTGGCCTTTACTGACGGTAACGAAGGACATATTTCACCAAATTCTGATGTTATTTTATCAATTATTGATTGATCATTGCAATTCGATTCTACAATATTATCAATTAAAAATGATGAATAATGTGGTGGCGATGGGGGAGTTAACAGGTTGACAATAGGCATTGAACTTTTTGATACAATTGGTGATATGGATGTTGATGAAGATGGCGAATGAGGGGGTGTTGGTACTAATGGACATGTTGATAATGTTCGGTTGATTGTTTCACGTCGGATTATTGTTGGAGAAAATGATGAACAGCTTTTTACAGGTGATGATGGTGATGAACATAAACAATGACCAAATGATGTTACAGTATTCATCATTGTAAAACGAAGAGGAATATACGATGATGATAATGAAAGATCTTTTAGGCGGATAGTATCATCCAATATTTGATCATTTGAATCATAGATTGATACCTAACAAAACAAAAAATGATCATCAATATTTGGATTGAATATTTCAAAATTAAATTCGTCTCTTTCGTTTTACCTGTGTCATCGGTGAATGTGGTAAGACTTTTTCAATATATGAACGAAGAATACGAATAGGCATTGATCCTTGACATTCAAGATAACGACGAGTAAACTACAAAAGAATATTGAATAAGTAAAAACCAGTAAAAAAACAAGCAAAGATCATACTTGAATAGATGCATGATCACTACTAACAGATAATTGAGGGCAACTAGAAGAGAATTCTTTTTTTGTTGTGTGATAGAAATAAAAATAATATTTCATATACCTGCATTTTGTATCTAATTCTATATAAACGTTATCCTCATTTTTCGTATTTTCTATAAAATACAAAACAGATGGAATCAATGTTACTAATAATAGATAAGAATGTCTTACTTTTGTGAGGTTTTCCGCGTCGATTCTTCATAACTTGTTGTCCTGTCAGGGAAGAACGAGAGAGAACGTGTGTATGCGTGTGTGTTTGTCAGTAGAGAAAAAGAAAAGAATGATGAATGCAATGCATGTGTCTGTGTGTGTACGCATGTGCGTTCGCTTCTCTTTCTTCCTTTTTGCCCTTTCTTTTTCTTCTCAAGTGAGCGAGAGATAGAAACAAAACTAAAAATGAAAGATTAGATCGATGTCCAATGAAAACTCAATTCTCTACTTGTTTTATCCAATAAAACAACTACCATTATTTTAGCGATGATGGTCTGTCTGTCTGTCCTGTCCTCTCCTGTTTACTCTCGTTTCGTCGAATACATACATATACACATATATATATATGTGTGTGCCCGCTTGGTCTCGACCCGTCTTGTACATTCAACTGAGTAATGAGACGAGGAGAAAAAGAAGAGAAAAGAATGAAAAAAAAAAAAGAAAGAAAGAAACAACTCTATATTCGCATATTTGATTAGGTCTATAGTGAGACAGAACAGAGAAAGAGCGAGTGATGACAACGAATAAGTTTTTTATTTTTTTTCTGGCCTTTGGCCGAAGGAAATGACTAATGATGTCAGTGTGCAACAGATGATGTTTCCTATTCGCCGTTATTTTTTTTCTGTTTTTTTCATGTATAAGAACGATGATCACACTTTTATCTTTTCTCTTGTCTATCAATTTAGAAAAATCGAATCACAGAATAGTGTGAAGCAACGGATGATTGAAAAAGAAAAATTAATGTGCATCTCATATAAATGTTAATTACATGGTACGGACAGAGAGAAAGAGAGAGAGATTCTTTCATGCTGTTCATCTGTATGAATAAAAAGGAAGTTAACAAAAAAATAAATTCCCATTCAGTGGTCTGATGTACTATTAAAGATAAAATTAATTGAATTGTCTTTGAGTTTTACTTCTCGTGATGAATCCTAAGTCACAATACCAGACAATGTATTAGTATTATTCTAATGATACCATTGATTTGATTTACTAGCAAAAAATAGCTCAAGGCGATCATGTCTGTTTTTTCTCAATTCATGCGAAATACAAGATGTCTATCAAATATAAATGCTATTTTTCCCAAGTAGTTTCTTCATGATATCAGATCTTTTTTTTCTCAATGTTAAAATGCAAGAATATTTCAAACAAAAACGGCAACAGGCATCAAATAGTTAGTACATGTATATATGCCTCTAGAGATATTGATAAATGACTTTTCTTGTTAGTTTTATGTGACATAGATGAATATCCATTCAATTGACGAAGTCGTTTCAATGTCTTTTTTTTTATTTCACTTTCACATCATTTCACTATTAAGTGGGTCTATTGAAGCGAATGCAGTGCAATCATCGCATGAAGATTGTATCTTAGTCGCACGGCATGTATGCGTGCCAATCACCATGTGGCCTAGACATCTCGTTTGTATTGAACCAATGAAACGCTATGTTGACAGCATACTCCTTTGAGAATATATTCACACTAGAAGGTGTTCTCTGTTATCGTTATTGTCGACATTAATACAATGTGATAGAATGAATAAATGAGTTTGCTTTTGTTACGGAAAACGATCAAAGACATTGTATATTTGCCGATCATACATATCTAATTGAGCTTGAAGATAAACCAGCTAGACCAATCCCTCACTGCTATTACGATAATCTTCTTTCTAAAAAATAAGATTGCTCAATATCAACAAAAATCTTTTTTTCATTACTTTAACTTCAATGAATTGACTTTTCTTAGCATATTTTTCATCACTAACGAAGAGATTTGTTATCGAAGCAAGAAAAAAAGATGATCACTGCTTTCGTTTGTGATCAATGAGTGTAATAGACTTTCGTGACACACGCATGTTTCAAGGATTAGTACAAAGCTCTAATTGAACTTCTTCCTTGTCTTTCTTTTTCTGCCTTGAGGGGTTTATATCGGCGACTAGCATCAAATGTTCATTATTTTTTCTCTTCTCTTCTTTTCATTGGACGTTGTCGTTAAACGAGCCAATCATTAAATGGTGACATGAACAAACAGAAGCGATAAGCGCAATGGCATACTTCCGATTCCGATGTCATGCGTCTTCTATTCAAGAACAGCAGCTGACACTTGTCTCGTCTTTTTTCACCAATCGAGGTGTTTGCTCTTACTTGAGTGCTAATTAATTCCATCTGTAGTCAACACTGAAGGCAAACAGTCTAATTTTTATATTGTGTAAACGAATTAAATCCAAAAAAAAGCTGTGACTTTTTTTTTTATCAGCTTACTTTTATTCAGGTGAAGTGACGTTATAGTCTTTTAATAAATGCCAATCGAATATCGAAGATCTGTGAATTGCATTGTCATTGAAAGAAACACGATGTTTTATGAGGAAAAAGAAAGATTGTATTAACTTTTATTTTCTTCGTTGATAATCAATTCAAATGTTTTAGATTAAATTTTACTTGATTGACATATCATCGCTTCACTCAGAATTTCTTTTAATCATGAAAAAGAAAATGATTCTTTGTTAATATGACTAGTCTTGCTCGTATTCTATTATAGTAATGAGAGATTCCGATGACAATGATAAAAACAAGAAAAGAATAATAGGATTTTTTAAAAAATGAATTACTTTAGATAAATTTTCAAAAGACTCGCGTTTTGTTTCTGGAAAGAAATGCTTATGTTCCTTTGTACAAAAACTATGTTTCAATTACCTAAGTTGATAGTGATAGTAGCTATAATATAATCTTATTCTATTATCAAATAACGATCATAGCTATACCCATTCACTGCTGTGTAGTTAGCTTGAAAACGTCTCATGCATTCGAACAAAAGAAGACAGATGTGTTTCTGTATCGATGTGAAATTGGATACATAACATGTTTTTTCTTTTCTCTTTTTGTTTTGTGTGAGCCTATATCGACAAAAATATATACGTAGAATTAGTAACACATTCAAAAAAAACATTATAACTGAATTTGTGCAAACAAAAATATTTTTGATGAAAAAGAAAACATGGCAAGATATGCTTCCTTCAAAAGAGTTGTAGTCTCCCTGTGTAATGATTTCGTTACTTCAACTATCTTGATTCTATGGATCTCATAAGTTTATGATTATTTTTGTAAACATATTCATTTCTTTTCTTCTTCTTCTTCTTCTGTGATTATCAAATATTTTAATTATTCTTATGTATGACTGAAATAATCTCGCATACTATTATTGTGGTGTAATATACAATAACAAAAGTATGAAAGTAAAGTGGTTACTAATCGTACTCACTGAGATCTATGAGATCACTTTGCGTCGTTTGACATCTAAGAATGATGATAACAATATTGTTCAGTTTACCTAGAAAACAACATTACATTGAAATTTAATTTTAGTTATCATGCCATATTGGATTAGTCATATACAGTGGAAAAGTGAACTTTGAATGCCGAAATATGGAATAAGTCATATTCTATTCTTTAAATAACGTAAGAATTGATGATTTAAAAAAACATTTCTTTTTAATATCTCGATGTTCTTTTATCGTAAGTAATATGATATACAAGAATAAGAACGAAAGTATATTATCTTGGAAATCGATATAAAAAAAAAGTTATTCAGTGATCAACATTCAATTGTTGAATACATATCGAGAACAAGAGACAGCTTTATTCTTTTGAACATCAGTATAGAAGTACAATATACTACTCTGATGGAATCAATCAATCTGTCTTTTCATTGATTGAAGAAACCTAGATGAATGTCACATTCTATTGTTTTATTGAATTAGTTTACTATTGGTTCATGTGAGTATCAATGCATCATTTCTCAAGGATGGTAGGATTATTGTTTAAGCTGTAAAAAAATTTGAATCAATTATATCAACCATTCTTATTCAATTCTAAGTTATTGATTGTATTGGTATAACGTTTTTTCTGTAATAATTTATTGTATGCTTATCAATCAATAAAATTTGATTTGAATTCCAATGTTCATTGAAGGACTTTCGCAATACTATAATGAGTTGAGTGTTGTAATTAATTAAGATAATATATATTTCTATTTTTTTTTCATTTCCTATCAGAATAAGTTATGATAGCAATGATTTCTTCTAATTAACTTGTAAGTTATAGACCCCATTTGGAATAATTTTTACAGGATCGAATTTAGTATTAGATTTGGTAGTGCTTATAATTATCGATTGATAACTAAAATACTTTTTTCAACTTATATAACTATAGTAAATTCTTAACATATGACTGTTATCTCGACAAATAATCAAGTACTATGTATGAATATATAGTTATGAAAACACATCAATGTGATCATGCATATCTTTTTTTACATCTTTATCGAGTGGAATCATAGCTCTTTCAAATCATATATTAAATATAGCGGAGAGGGGAACGGAGAGGCGACGGCACAGTGTGGTATCAACTGTCTTGCTTCTAATTTTGTGCGAATTTCTCGTTGTACTCTCTCACTCTCTTATTTTATCATTTTTCTTTGCCGCGTTGGAAAAATGAAGCTGCATGATTGTGTGACTACGATTTAATTAGCTGACATAGTATTTTCTCTGTGAGTGATAAATGCAAGAGCTATATTTAATTATTCATTTTATTCGTATTTTATTGTATGAAACCGAAATTTTCCGAATATCTAAATAGCGTCGGCTATCTGTCTATAAAGCAGATTCTTTTACACAAAGTAACGAATAGCAAACAGTCCCTATTAATATATGTCTAGTAATCTATATGAAAAAGTACAAGATCACATACTTTTAGGTTCTTTTTCTCATTGATAAAGTCGATTTTATTGAGTGAAACATAAAACCATTCAGACTTATGATCAATTGAGTGTGTATTCGAGTAAAAATGAACAGTAAGAATAGATACATTAAGCTACTCACTTGAAAAGTGAAACTAAAAATTGGTTTCTACAATAATTTATTAGCAAAAGATTCATATATTAGCAAACAACTGCATTAGATCAATGCGGTTGGTTAATATTAAAAAGAAACTTTAAGTTCGAAAACTACCGTCGCTTTGAAAAAGTATACTTTTTATACGACACACAGAAGTTTCTGTTTCACTTTTTGTTTCTAGCTTTTGAGAGAAAATGCTTTGAAAATCCATCGTCAAACATTTCATATAGAAAATATGTTTAATCTAATTCTATCCAAAGAATGTCTTGATAGCGGTGCTTCAAATCAATTTCATTTTTGTTTTTCTAATGCTTTCTTTTCTAGGATATCCTGTATCATATGTGTAAAGATATCGAGATAGTTTTGAGTACATCAAAAAGAAATTTATCATTGCATCAGTATATATTAAACTTCTGTTCAATGAAATTTTGATGAAACTAAGTTTATTATGCATCATACTACCAACACTGAAAGTCTAATACTTTGAATAATGCTTTTTTGAAAGAATTAATTTACATTGATATCATGATTAAGAGTTTGAATGAAAATTCAGAAAATTGACTATCGAATTTCTATACTAAGTTTCTATCATGATCTAGAGTTTTCCTGCTGAAATGAAGTATAATTTATTTATCTGAACAGCTAAACATGATTTTTCTAGAGATTTTCTTACAATAAGTTTATGTAGAAATAACTTGGCATATTGTTTTTATATACAGAGACAAGTTATGGATTTAAAGCTCATCATAGATTATTTTATTTTTCTAGTATATTTGAGACTTTGAATATTTGTCTAATTTTTATTGTTGTTGTTGTTGATGTCACCGCAATCAATTCTTACGTGAACGATTAGATGTGAATTGTGTAATAATAGCTGAGTTATTTCCTTCTCTTTGTGAAATGTGAATATCTGAAAGATCTAGATTGATCAAATGTAGTCATTTCTCCACGAAATTTATATTATCGCTCATATTATAAAAGTTAAAAATATCAAATATTTTTAGTAGATCAAATCAAAGGTATTATTGTGCCCTGATATTATTTCTAAACGAAATCGAACTTAATTGTACTCTTATTCATAAATTAAAATATCGATGCAGCTTGATGATTTTAAGAGATCTATATTTTTGTACTGAACATGACAATTTTATTTTTTGTTACAAGGAAAGAATTTAAAAAGTCTTTTGATAATAAAACACATGACAAAATGCAATTTTTTTTATTTGATGGAATCCATTGAAAATTAATTTTTTACTTTTTCTATGCATTACGTATAAGTTCTGTGTTATGTACTTGACTTTTGAAAAAACAACCCGAACTTTAATAGTAGACACAAATGACTGTGCATTATTTGATCATCTTTGAATTCTCGTAAGATTTATTGTTTTCGATTTTCTCACACTCTTTACTACATTTTCTTCGACCAACATCTATAGTTTTCTAGGTAGAATGTTTGAGGGAAGAAGTACAGGATAGCAGATTTGAAAGTAAGAAACAGAATGAAAAGAAAAAGCAATTGTTTATCTTAGTTTTCTTCTACCGCGTTGTTCTGTTTTTTTTTCTTTCTATTTACTAAAACCAACCATATAGAAGTCAGTCAATCAGTTGTTTACGAAAACAAAATGTCGGCGTCATTATCAACATCACCCAAAACACAATCACGCGACAGTATTCTTAACATTTTTCATGTAAATTTGTTTTCCAATAAAGTGAAACATGATGAATTTTTTCTTGCATCACCTAGGAAATTACAGGAATGAATTTTGAAGATTGTCTTCATTTTCTTAATCAATATAATTGGAAACTTCAGGTAGAATTAAATTTTGTCTTTAGCTTTTAGTTTTTTTATTATTTTCTTTTTCAAAAGAATATTTTAGAAGATTTTTACAAAGGAAAAGAATTTAAGAATAAATCCAGTCAAAATTCAAATGAAAAAAGCGTTGAAAATAGGCGTGAATCTGCAAATACCCAACATCCAAGTAAGACGATGGAAAACTAAGGAAAATATTGTATTTTTACAAGTATGAGACTACAGACCACGATAAAAATAGAATGTTGAAATAGAAGGGTAATGATTTGAACTGCCTCATATATTTCTATGTATTATAACGCACAGTATATTATTACTGCTCCTTCCATTTTCACATACATTGCATTCAATCCGCATACACATTTGAGCACTCCTCATTGCTATCCATCACCCACACTCCCATTTGAAGTATCCCAGATAACCCCTGCACCCCTCCCGGGTGCCCTTCACTCACACCCACATTTGAATACTCCTCCATGGTATCCATCACCCACAACCACATTTAAAGTACCCGGGTACCCCTCAGCCACAGCCACATTTAAAGTACACTGGGTACCCGCACCCTTTTCGAGTACCCCGCCTACCAACCACCTCACTCGTACCATCACCCACAGTTACCACTTAGTTCCCCTCAACCCGCACCAACTCCATCTTGAATTAAATATAAAACTAAATCTATTTCTATCACTTATTTTCGAATTGATGCCATGCAGTTGGGTGTCCATTTATATTCGAATTCGAACTAGACATCTGATGGGATTTTGATCGGTTGTTGCAGAATTCTAAGTAAATCCGGGTTGTGGACCCACTCACGGATCCCTAGTGTTGGAATCCGATCGATTCTTGCAGGAACCAGTCAAAACCCTATAGGTTTCTTTAGGAACTTCGTTGGAATCCAACTCCTGAAATTCCTATCGATTTCGGTTGTAGGATTTGGTCGGATGTTTACCGCATTCCAACACTAGAGATTTGTTAGTAGTTGCTCAACACGGAATTCCATGGGGCTTTGTCGGCTCGTCGAGTTTTATAAGATCCGATCGGATTCGGTATTGGATTCATTCATCTGAGTAAAACCAAGATTCATCGGTTGTTATGAATTTTTTGTAACAACTATTGGCTAATTGTCGATAAAGTCGACGTGCACGTTGACGACGTTTTTCGACATTCGATGATGCTAATTTATGGACTTTTATTTTTTCCGAAGAGTAAAGTTGCCCAATTTTAAAATTCTTGAGACAGTTGATTGGCTAATATGATAAGATTTGGCAATAGAGCGTTGAGTAGAAGGATCATTGACATCAAATGTTTGAATTACTTTTGATATAGTTGATGATGTAGATACTGGTCGTTTTCGAGAAAATATAATTTTTTCAAGGGAATTACGTTGACGGGCAAACTTTTGTTTAACATTAAATATAGTTCTTTGAGATACACCGATTTCATAGTTTGCCAAAATTTTAACTATTTGTCGTTGGGAGTATTTCAGCTGCAAAAGATCCAAAATACGTCCCTCAAGAATATCATCAATTTTTTTTCGAGGCATTATTTTAAACAGAGATTGGACATATGAAGAGATAGAGAACGATCACCCCTATCAGATGATATAGTCACACACTTTTTCTTTCTTTTCTGCGAAGCACGAATGACATTCCAAGATGAGTAAAACTAGTTGAATCGTGCTGTATATGTGAAAAAGAAGCCTGTTTTTTAAGGATTTACATGACACATGATTGATTTCACTATTCATATTTGTCGTTGTTTTTTATCCTGACTGAAAGATGTTAAAAATTAAAGCATTTTATCATTAAAATTGATTGACAACGAATAAATACTAGTGCACAAACTAGAAATAATTTTTATTGAAGAATCCATCATTTTAAAAGGAAAATAAATATTCTATCATATTTCGTATGTTAATTCTACTAGCAATGTATGAACGACTTTCTAATTAAGACTTAGGTAGTTTTTATACGAAAAGAGTCGAACAACAACAATTCACTGAAGATTATGATCATTACTTTGCTGGACTGTTACAACGATTCGGTGATACTGATGAATTAGCAAGAAAAAATGGGACACATAGGCAGCATTATCAACAAATTCCACAAACTCAAAAACTTCAAGAAAAATCATCGAAAGACAAATCTAAAAATGAGGTAAGAATTTCGAAAAAATTCGCACATTTCAAAAATACCATATCCTTTTTGGATTACAGACAAATCAATTTTTGTAATATTTTGTTAGAAAAACAAAAAAAAAACATTTTCCTTTTTTTTTAAATTAAAGTTTCACCGTAAGCAGTGCCGACTTTTTATTAATAATGAAGACAATATCTAACATAAAATATTTTTTCTTAAGGAGATTTATCATGAAAAACAAGAATTACTTCGATGTGGTATTCATTCATTAAATAATCTTTTTCAAATTCCACATTTATTTACTCATAAACATCTCGACGGTATTGTACGCGAATTTGATAACAGACACAACAATAATGATTATGGAATCCTATGGATAGGTGATTACGATTTACGGATATTAATCGAAGCTATCAATCGATGTGGACATCTTGTTCGGCAAATAAATTTTTATAATGGTGAACCACTTCAAAATCTTCCATGGGATTCTTATTTTGGTTTATTGATTAATTTAAATGGTGCTCATTGGTTTACAATTAAAAATCTGAATGAAATTTATTATAATCTTGATTCAACATTTACAAAACCATTAAAAATTGGACTCAAAGATGATCTAGTTAAATATTTAATTAGCTTTATACAAAATTTCACTAATGTGTATATATTTACTGTATTAAAACAAACATATCGTTCGTAATTGTTGAACATTTGTAAGACAGTGTATGTGTAAGAAGATCATTTGTTTGTTTCTTATTAAACATATGAATTCTAATGGGAAACTTTCAATGATTTTAATACTTTTTTTTAGTGAAAACCAAACATCGGCTAACGATTTTCTGTCGAAATAATTTTAAAAATAAAATTAATGCAAGAATTCAAAATTCTTCACAGTAATCTTATGTGAAAACATATTAATCTATATATATGAATTTCAATAAACGTTAAATCAATAGTGGAATACAAAAGTTAACATTACAATAAGCGTTGGATGAGCTATTTTTCCCTACAGCTAGTTATATCTTTGATTTTGTAAGGAACTCAAAAACTAACAATGACACCAATTTACAGAGTAATTTCTTTTAAAAAAACAATTTTGTAATTTTTACTGCAGAAATTGTAATCAAGCAAACATATAAATATGTATTTAGTTTTTATTCGAAGCTTATCATCTCAAAACTGATCATGATTATAAACGATAAAAGTATTTTCTTTCCGAAAATGTTAAAATTATATAAATTGAATATGAATACATAATAATCATACCGATCGTTATTAGAGAAAAAGACTTTAGCAGACATACGTTATGAATTCTCTTACTCTTTTTAATGTCGAAATGTTCAGAAATTTCAAATACTATTTTCATTCATCTGAAGTATCATTGATTAAAAAAAACATAAGTTGCTTAGTATTTGTTATTTTTTATCTGAAACTCATTAATAGGAATGTACTGAGAAGCCGTAAGAATAGCTTGTTTAATGAATAGAATAATTTGAGTCAGACTAAATCGTCTATTTTTCTTCTGATTCTTTACTAATGATACTAATTATATTTTTGAACTAAATGATCCATGAAAAAAATAAAAAGATAAAAAAAATAAAAAATGTAGAATATTAGTATCCTAAAAATAAGGCAACAAATTGAAAAGATACATATATCTAAATAAAAATAATACAGATACAAATGCATACGATTTTTTGATTGTGTCTATACATCTAGGTAGTTACAATAAACTGAACAATTTTTATCAATTGCATTGGAATATATTCGATTACTCAATTTCTTCTGAACGTTTCAGTGCTTGGACCATTGGGAACTTGTTGAGGAAATTAAAAGTATGCTCTATGTACTCATGTTTCATCATTGTCGCTGTCATTTTATATTAGCAATTAAAATCAGAAATTGTTAATTAGTCAACTAGTATTGTAAACTACAAAAATAGACATCTGTGCAGATCTTCAAATGTTACATGATCAATTGTAAGACGATATCTTTATGAATGAATGCATCGATACTTATAATACTACGATTTTAATTTATCAGCAACGACTATCATAAAAAAAAGAGAAACACCCAGGTCGAAGCAACCGGCCCGGGAAACGGCCGGTTCCCGCGCATTCCCGCGATTTCACGGAAGCAGTATTCCGGATCGGGAAATATACGGATTTTTCCTGTAAATTCCGCCAAGTTCCTGTTGGTTACAGCCAGGAATCATCGGAAATCACCGGGGAAATCCGGAAAAATCCGTCCCGGAATCCTGCTTCCAGGGTCTGATGATATACGGCGTTTTCCTACACGTTCCGGTGCGTTTCCAGTATGTTGCTGGCCGGTTCCAATGAAATCCGCTCATTTCCGGAGGCCGGAAACATCGTCTTGGGCACCGAATGTGAAACAGCTTTTCTTCTATATTAATTACGCAAGTACATCAATATCGTTATGTATCGAAATCAGTGAGAGAACAAATATCTCCGACTGCATAGCCTATTCAACGTTGGAAAATAATTATCATGCGACATTTTTCTAATCATTTATCTTCCTGATACATAGTACGTATATTAAAGCATTCCACTGTTATCAATAAATAGATTAGTGATTTATTTCAAGAGACAAATGTCCTTTGGCACAGGTCAGGTTAAAAGGTAAATACGTTTTTTCTTGATGCAATATAACGATGCTTTTGTCAAGATGCCTAGTTTTGTAGCTGATAATACTAATTGACTAAGTAACAACTCTGATTTAAAATACTATATAAAATAACAGCAACAATGATCGCACACGAGTACATAGAGCATACTTTTAATTGTCTCAACAATTTCTCAATGGATCAAGCGCTAACATGCTTAGAGTAAATTGAGTGATCGAATCTATTTTTGTGAGATAAATATTAGCCTAAACGTCAAGAATGTGGAATGAGATAAAATCGAGAAAAATAACAGCGTTCATGCTTCCAAAACAAAGAATTTCCGAAGTTTCTGAAATTTTAAGCCTTTGTGTTCGAAATTGTGTTGGGTAGTTCTCAAAATGGTGTACTTACTCAAATTAGAAATATACCTAAAATGTTCAACATTTTTCAAAAGCCATTCAATATGTTCTTCCAGATAGTTATCGAGTTGATTCAGATTTCAATAATTTTGAGCATTTCCTTTTTCCGAAATCTGAATATACCATAAATTCAAAGGAACTTTTTGCGAAATATTTCAACTGAATTGATAGAGTTAAGTTTTAGTAATTGATGCTAGACTAGAAACTATTTCTAACCATCTGCTGGAAGTTTTCAATGTGCACTTCAGATATTCGTTGTTATGGGACACTTTTTCTAATAAATACTCTCTGCATAAATGATAGCTCTAATCTGTATCAATCGATTGAGATCAGAGTGATTCTGACGGTCAGATTTGACTAAGATTAATCTGTTCTCAAAATGGTAATTAAACTGTAAAAGTTTTGTTCAATTTTTTGAAAAATTTAATTAAAAGCAATCCAGAATAAAAGTAAAATAGTCTATCTTCTATGTGATTTTGTTTCATTCATTTTTGAATACAGCAGTACACATCGAATTTGTTTCGACTATGCATCCTAATAAACGTGAGCATTTAACACTTTCTGTATTTAAAAATAGAAAGAAAAATAGTGACAATGTTTTGCTAAAAACTTTAACCAAACAAAACCTTTTTAAGTTGACATTATGGATACACTATTTTTCGATGTGTACACTGTATGATCAGATAACAATGAAATTCAAAATTTTCACATGGTTTAACTTGCAAAAAGAAATAGTTAACTACTATTTATTAGATCATAAAATATATCAATTTATTATTCTATCCTACTCTGAAAAATGATCGGCCTTCTTTGACAATAACATTCTAAGATGTTCAGTTGTTTTGTCTACTTTTTCTTTTTAAATAATATAAAAGGTCATTCGAAAAGTTTTCAGTAAACTATATTAGTTTCTATTCATGTTCGTTAATTTAGCAACAACAGTATTAAAAAAAATAAAATATTTTCGTTGTTCATCAAAAAGTTGCTTGAATTTATCTTGAATGTACCCTTTAATACAAGTCAAGTCAATTGCATTAGTTTAAAAATAAATGATTGCTTGTGTTCATTATAATCCGTGGCTTCTTAAAAAATAAAAATACCCTGCTTGATTTCTTTTCATGGATCCACGTTGCTTGAATGTCAGATAGCCGTGGATTCATCTGTGTAAATGAAATTATTTTCTCGTGCCGTGCTTGATTGCGAAAATGGATTCAATTTGACACGAAGTACGTGAGAATCTAGCATACTAGCCTAGACAAGTTACAATTCATTATCTACCAGAAAAACTTCATCACTGTCTTATCATATTTTTTGCACGAGTTGTCTGTAATATTGTTAAATTATTTCCTATATAGAAAATAATTTTCAATATCTTTGAAAGTAATTTAAACAACGAGATACATTTTGAGATAATAAGATACATAATACATGTGAAAATAAGTATAGAGAAGATTGATGAACTTAACTCAATTTCGATTTAGTTTACACGACATCTACTTTATAAAATATTAATGTATATATATATATATATATGATCGTTCGTTAGATGGCACGATTAAACAAGAAACTATTGTGCTTTTTTTGAATAATACAGAACGGTTTCATCTTATAACCAATGGTTCTTTAATATCGTTATGCTTTTTCTTTAAAACTTAGCTCATTCATTTAATTATATTGTTCGATTGAAATGAATAGTAGAAAAGAAAATCAAAAATATCCACTTGTCGTAATACATAATGTAACAACATTTTCAAATAAGCAAATCGAGCAGTATTGCAAAAAATATGATAAAGATATTCGTTGTTTTCGTAAACGAAATCGAAATAACCATGAATATGTACATGTTTTATTTTCGTCGATTATATCTGCGAATAATTTTCTAAATGAGCGACCTCATTTTATTCAAAATTGTCGAATAAAGTAAATCAGAAACAAAGTCCACTTTGTTTTCTCCAAAAGAAAGCAACTTCTTCTTATTTTCTAGTACATCATTAGTTAGTGATCCATTATGTGGACCAAAATTTGTTTGCATACAAATCGATAAATATGCTTCTATTACTGAAGACAATCTATACGACTATACATCAAAACATTTTGGACGTATACTTAATTGTGTTTTATATGATTCACGGGGTTATGCGTTTATTGAATTTCATCAAGTGGACGATGCACATCGTGCATTAGCATCATCAGATCATCAGTTAAATGGTTGTTCAATTCAATATTGTCCTCGAAATAAGTCGTCGAAGATTCTTCCATTAATTTCATTGACAAGACTTATTCATATTGGAAATTTTTTAAATAAAGATCAAGAAAATCTTCCATTATATTTTCCTAATTTACAGAATTTTTCAATACATAAAAATTGTTATGGGCAAAAATATATATTGGGTATATTTAATCTAAATGATAGTATTAAATTATTATTAAAACGAGCTTTTTGTTTAAATGGACGTGTATTGAACATATTCATAGATAATGATGATAAATTAACTGAGTGTAATAATTATCTACTTGTACGTAACGTATCTTATCGTCTCAATGATTATAATTTACTTGAATATTTTTCTCAATATGGTCGAATACTCAATTGTTATAGATATGGACAAACAGATGCATATCGTATACAATATCGTGATAAATCAAGCTTAAATAAAGTAATAGAATTCAATCGCATACACGTTATTAAAAGCATTCGCATGCAAATTGAAGGTGAAAAAAATTAGGATTGTACCGATTATACTTTTGTTTTTTTTTTGTAGTTTTTGAATTGTTTCATTCTGTGTTTGGTTTCTTTTTCATTTTAAATAATAGTAATATAACTTAAAAATATTCTAGTGTTTTTTGTTGTCTATTAACTAAATTAATGTGTATTAGATTCGTGAATACTCACTAGATATTTGTTTTTTGTTTTGATTTTGTGAATCGCTCAGAAAGTTTAGATAATGATGTTTCAAGGTCGATATTTCACTTTTATGAAGTGTCATAATTTTCCATCTATCATTGTTGGTTTTTTTTCCTTTTCCTTTTTCTTTTTCTTTTTCTTTTTCTTGCTCATGTAGATCGCAACGTAAAAGAATAAAAGAAAACAACACTAGCAGCAAATAAGAGTTGTACTGATGCGTGATAAGTACACATGAATAGAATAATCATGCATGTGCTCACTCAAGTATGTGACTGAGTTAGCTACTAATCGTACCGTACTGACATCAATCAAAAGACTATTCTATAGAAATAACGGCAATAAATTTCTGTCGTTGTAGCAAGAAGAAGGGAAAAGATGAGACATAGAAAGACTTAAGTGTAAAACAGATTATATAAGTACACGCAAACAACAAATAACATAGCAAAGCAGAAAATGCTTTTACTCGATTTGTTTTCAAACAACACGTAGTTGCCAATAGAAAGAAGATAATTTGCATCCGATATCTGTTTTAGTTCGACGATAGACCAAAAAAAACTACTATTATCTATTACGTCTGTGTGCATCGTTGCTATAATAATAATAAAACATTGGACATTGCCTTCTATCATTATTGCCACTAATATCTACAATTATAACTTATCATGACTTTTATTTTCAAATTAATAATGAATTTTAAAGTAGCAAAGGTGAATAGATAGCTATGAGTGTAATTATTTAGAGTAAGTGAGAAAAAAACACGAGGGAATCGTCTGAATACTGTTCGGCAGATAATTAATATACTCATGTTGACAATCGTTGAATACAAATAATTTGATAGACATTATGTTAGGCGACAATGTCCTATTTTTAAGGTGATCACCGTAACAACGATTTTTGATTATCTCTTTTTTTCTTAGCTAATGCAATTTTAAGATTAACATTACACTTATGCTATTTTCCTTATAATTGAATTGTTGCAGCTATTTTGATATCTGTTGTGTTTTTTTCTTAGCCGTATTCTTCGATTCAATCAATTTGTATATTAATTAAGAAAGCAAGTTGCTACAATTATATTTAAGAATCGAATTATTATCCGCATTACTCTTGAATGAATTTTTGTTTTCATGAGCATAGAATGAAAAATAGAGATGATGGGTGACATTCAGATCAGAATAATAGTGCCAGAGAATATAACACATAACATTTTTAGTCTTTATTTTTTTTCGTTATTCTTATTTTTCATAGTTTTATAACCGATTTGAAACTAAAAATCTTTTTCTAAAATAAAATTCAAATAGAATCAAGTAAGGTGTTTTCTTTTGATTCATTATAAGATTGATAAATAAAATATAGTTACATTATCGAATATAATTTGAATACATATACATATATGCATATAGATTCAAAAAAAGAAAGAAATTATTACATTAAAAATTTAAATATAGTCTTAATAAAAGCATTATCTGTTGTTAGGAATTCTTTATATTCTTCATTTTTAAATGTTGAGAAATCTCATTATTTACTTTTTAAATGTAAAATAAAGATGTATAGAAAATTTTTTAATCAGTCGAGAAAAAACATCACGAATCTGCTCTATAAGATATAATTTACTTGCTGTTCAGCAAAAAAAACTGAAAGACTAGGGCGTATTTATTTTTATTTATTTGAATTCATTTAAATTTTACTAAATTATAGCATTAAGCAATTAATATAGCCCTCAAGAGTATTCTCTAAGAGGAGAAACACCTGAGAAAAGTTTCAGTCTCATGAAAATCCATATGAAAACTAATTAATAAAATGGAGGATGTTCATGTCAGCTTTTTTCCTGTTTTATTTTTTTATACTTTCATCTTCCATAGTTGCATGAAGCATAAAATTAATTGTCGAATGCAAAAGCTGCCCAGAAGGTTTATATAAAAAAATAATTTTTTTTTCTTTCTCTCTTCTTTCATATCCTATTCTTGTGCTGCTCATTGTCGCCTGAAGAATCCTCCAATAAGTTCATTCATTTGTCAAAATTATCATCCGTCATAGCTTATTTCCGTGTTACACAGACCAAGCGTAGTTTTTTTCTTATTTACTAAGTAAGCTTTTCATTTTCATTTAGTAACATCGCAAAATGTATAAGACTCCAAGCAGCTCTTCTGACACTCTACAATCACAACGTCATCCAACACCTGAAATGCAACAACAACAGCATCAACACGCATTATCAGAAGAAATGGTAGCTCGTTATTTAGCCCGTAAACCAAATTTTCTTAAGCGTTGGTTCAAAGATAATGCACCGAATGATTTAATACAAGAATGCATAAGAATACAAGAACAAAAAGAATATCTATCTAAACCACGTGCATCATTAACACATGAAATGTTTAATAGTATTGTTCAAGGTCATAGTGCAACTCGTGACTTACCAGCAACGTCCTCTCCAATTGTTGATTATAATCATTTGAATGAAAATGAACTTTTTTTCGAACTAATACGCGATATTGCAAATGAATTGAATGTGGATGTTGCTTGTCATAAGATCTTAACCAATGTTTCCATATTAACTAATTCGGATCGTGGAAGTTTATTTTTGGCTCGTGGTCCAAAAGATGCTCGATATCTTATTTCAAAATTGTTCGATGTTACAGCTGGTTCAACACTTGAACAATCCCTTCATAAAGAAGATCAACAAATTATTATACCATTTGGAAAAGGCATTGCTGGGCATGTTGCCTTAACCAGAGAATACATCAATATTCCTGATGCTTACGAGGTAATGTTATTTTAGATTTGTACCATTGTTTTTACGATTAGAAACACAAGATGACAAATTCTCCTTTCACTAACAAATGAAAATTCGACTCGCGTTCTCTTATTTTATCGAACCTGAGTACACTTTCAAAGCAAATAGTTAGTGTAAATCTATATCGAGATTTTTGTAATTAGTTCCCTTGTTCTTAGTGTCTAACACTAGAAGCTAGAGTTCATAGACTATTTGAGTATATTTTTAATAACTAAGAAATGAGGGTGGGCTTCCATCGTTGTATACGTGTACTTTGGAATAGAGAACAAATAACATTTGCTTGCATACGGAGAGTTCGTTAGCAAAAGAAAAAGATGTCAATCGGTATCAAGGACAGTACACTTAGAATATTCTAGAATATTCTAAAACGCTTGTTGAAATTATTATGATTGGACTAAGTTTGCAACTCTGATAAATAGTACAGTGTCTAACATCCGATACAATCAACGGGATTATATTTCATATGTTAACTGGTAGAACTAGTAGAGATGGCTTATTATGCTTTAGTCATCATATAATTAACATGAAAATGTGTAAACTGATTATATCTTTACAAAATATATAGAATAGTACTTGGAGATCTGCTATAGAGATGACGGATATATGAAGCTCAACGATTTTATACTCGATCGTAGAATATTTTTTAATAAAATTCTTGTAATCGAAAATCTTTCAGTTTTTCATCATTTATACTATGTCTGTATTTTCTTCATGTTTTAAATAAATAGTTAGACCAGTGCTTTTCCTTTGCAAAAAGAAAACATGAATAACACATTATCCAAATAATACGGTTTAGTTGATCATAATTATCAGTTTATATTCCCTACATAGCTTGTATTAGTTGTAACATGACATCATTCTCATGATTACAACATAAAACAATCGATGAAACCATTAAGTAATTTAATAACGAAGATCATCGTTTCTAAAAGCATTGTAAACAAGTACAATGACAAATGAACCCACACCATTGTATGTTTGCGTATTACATGATTCAGTATTATGATAATGTTTCTTCGTATTTGATAAAGAGAAATACGATAGTTTCCACAACTCTTATTCGATTTCCATTTTACTAAGTATTGTCCCATAAAGGTCATATTACTCACCATCACCATATATGATAAAAAGAATATGGTCTCATCCAAGTCACTCATGTATTACAATAAAATAAATACAATATTATGTGGGAACATAAGTAGTATGTTTGTATTTCATAATCTTTACCTTGCAGCGCCGCTATTTGATTAATTTGAATTCTTGCGTATAGGGGACATATCATTTCTAGGTTCTAGTTTTTCAGTTTAAGAAAAAGAAAAAGAAAAAGGTAAAGTATAAATAAGTTTAATGGCATTTAAAGTATTACTGAAGCAAAAAGTAAACACTTTAGATCATATTTCACATGACGATTTATTCTCAAAAGACAATCATAGCCTACTAGATATTACCTACTGTAAGTATTTTGCATATTCCTATTATGAATCATAAGAATTCGTTTAAATTATTCGACATTGAAACCACGCAAGGCTTGATATGATTTGTTGTGTTTTCATATTATAGAAAAATGTAATTTCTCATAAAAATTTAACAGAAAAAAATAGTTAATTTCTAAAGAATCGTACAACAAGAACTCTGTTTCTTTGTTGTTGGTACTGTGGATCGTACAGGAAGCGTCGAATTGTTGTTTGTTTGCCGTTGATGAGCTGTTTTTATCGCTGGATGAATTTTATTTTTTGCATTTTTTTGTTGATAAGAATGTTTCCTTTCATTTATATTTTTATTTATGCGACCATAATGATAATAAAATGGATCATATGGATCAAGTTTTAAATGAGTTTTTTCATGAGTAGTAAGCTGCGGCGTTGAAGATCGTACAGTTGGAGATTGTACAATAATTGGTGTTGAAGGACTATTATTAGGTGTTTTCGAACTACAACATCCATTTGATTGAGCAACTGGAACATGATTATTTTTAAAAGAATCTTTTTTATGATTATGCACTGGTCCAGCACGAGTTTTTCGTATTTTATATGTATTCATATCGCCATCGTTATGTGAATAAGATTTTTGTTTCACCATTTTGACGAAGAATTTTACAATTTAAAAATGCATTCTTCTCTTATTACATATAAACATAAATATATAAATATATATAGATGTCTGTGCACAAAACAAAATCGTTCGTCAATTTAATAGCCAAACACGACACTTGTGGGCTATCACATTTATTTTCGTTCTATACTAATTTATTGACAAAGAAAACTTATGTTTCTTTTTTCTTTAACAGGATCCAAGATTTAACAAAGAAGTTGATAATAAAACAGGTTATAGAACACATTCAATATGTTGCATGCCGATTTTAAATCGGGACAATGTTGCTATCGGTGTTGCACAAATAATTAATAAAAAAACTGGTACACATGAATTCACAGCGAAAGATATTAATGTAAAGGACTTTATCAGGATAAATGAAAAAAAACGTTTTCTCTTCAAAACATCTATAGGTTTTCCGAAATTACTTGACATTTTGTGGTCTTAGTTTATCAAATGCACAATTATTTGAATTATCTATTCAAGAATATAAAACGAATCAAGTAAGATTTTGTTATTCATTCATGTAAAATAATTATTCAATATTGTATTACACAAAACTTGCATAATTAGAAATGTATTTCTTTTTATCGCGACGTGATTCTCGTCATGCCTGATAAGATTCGAATGCATACACGTATTTGTAACGTTGTTTCGACAACAGAGCTGAAAGAAGAAAGAAAGAAGAACAGAAGCAAAAAACAAGATGAGTGCTCTTGTCGTGTGTGTGTGTGTGTGTCAGGAGTGCAGACGCCCTGTTTCGTTTTTTATTGCTTTTTCCTTTCGTTGTCTCCATCATGCTAGTAAAAGCTAATCAAGTTAGAATCTGATATATTAAATTTTTACGGAACAATGACAAAGTTTGGTTGATTAAAAAAACAACCTTCTAGACAACATAAACAATTAATGCCGTTGGGCAGACAAGAAGAAATTCAGCGAACAACCGCTCGATCTTCTTATTCTTCTAATTCTTTATATTTACTTTCAAACGATAATAAAATATACGATAATGGGCAATTACAAGCAACAAATATTTTATCAAATAGTGAAACACAAAGAAATACCGAGGATCTCTCGCTTTTAGTCAGGCTTAAGGTCAGATTCATTCATATATTCTTTATAAATTTAAAATAAAGAAATAGAAATATACATAATTTATAATATAATGAGCATGAATGCTTTTCTTTTTATTAATATTTAGCTTCTTCTGAATTTAGCACGAAATTTATTTCGTGAACAAAATGATCTTGAACGTTTGGTACATAAGATAACAACTGAATCGCAAGGTCTTATGCAATGTGCTCGTTGCTGTGTTTACATATTAGATCGGGCAGTAACATCAAATAAACTTGAAGTAAATTATTTCAGAATGTAAAAGAATTTGAGAATATTTAATTTCATCCTTGAATAGGATATTCATTTTTCCAAAGGATTTGATATGACTTATGGTGAAGAATTTAAAGTAACAACGTATGTTATTTTATAATACTAAGAAAATCTCATCTTACATTAAAAATCAAATTTGTTTTTAGAAATGATTTTCTTGAAAATTCGCGATATGGTAAAATTGCTTATCATGTTGCTACAACAATGGAAACAGTTAATTTAAATGATCTAATGAATGATCAAGCTCTTGCACATCTTGTAAATAATTTATGCACAAAAATAATGTCATGTTTGTGTTTTTATATCTAATTTTCGTTTTCTAGTTAATATCAAATGGTGATGATACATTTGAATTAAGAAATATTTTATCTGTACCCATTATGGATAGTGATGGTCACGTTATTGGTGTTTCTCAAGTGATGAATAAATTAAATGGAAGAATTTTTACTGAAGATGATGTGGCAATTATTGAAGTAGACAGTCTTTTGTTTATTGACTTTTCAGAATAAAAATTTCGTTGTTTTCTTTTTTGCCTAGGCCTTTTCAGTTTTTTGTGGTTTGGGTATCCATAATACACGTCAATATGAAAATGTTGTTCGTTTAACAGCAAAACAAAATGTTGCTTTTGAAGTTTTATCTTATCATGTAATTGCACCTGAAGAAGATGTTCAACGTGTTTCACAAATTTGCGTACCTGAAGCAAATCAAATAAGATTATATTCGTGGGAATTCAATGATATGATTTTAACTGACGATGAAACAGTTTTGGCTAGTGTAAGAATGTTTATTGAATTAGATTTACCGAAAACATTTCGCATACCAAATGATATTATATGTCGATGGGTATTAAGTGTAAAGAAAAATTATCGACCGGTGATTTATCATAATTGGAGACATGCTTTTAATGTTGCACAAACTATGTTTTCAATGCTTACAGTAAGATAAAAGAAAATTTTATCGCTTTGCTTGTTTTTGAAAATATTTAGGATTGTTTTTTTTTGCTTGAAGAAGCAGTTTTGTATAAAGAAAGTTTTCTTTTTCTTTTTCTATCTCTATTGAAATCTATAGAAACAAATAGGTGATTGCATGTAGTAGGAATTTCGTTCTACTAGTTAATTAAATCAATATAACATCATCGTAGAAAGTGTTTTCTTTTACACGTATCAAGTGAATGTGAATCAAATTCATGGTTTGAAATTTCATGTTAATCACCAGTTAGAGTGTATGAATGAAGAAAAAATAAATTATATAGATTACAAATATGTGCGAACAACTTTTTAGTGTCAACCTGAATGAATGAGATCAGACTTGGAACCACACGAAAATAAGTTGTTGTTTTAGAAACTTAAGAACATAGTCAAATATTGAATCAGTTTTTTGCGATGTGATACGAATGAATTTGTAAATATCTAGTTACGTCTAGATTGAGGCTCCAAAACATCAGATTAGAATACGTTTTTAATACAGACTATTCAATTATTAATGTTAGCAATTCCACTGAAAATCTTCAATAATCAAACGTCTCATGATCATTTCTTAATGATCAAGTAATCTTTCATGATTCATTCATAATTCAATAAATATCTAAATAAAACTGCTAACTATTGAATTCGAATCGTAAATTGTGCATAATTGATATCTTCCTCTCATCGTTATGACAGAGATCTAGGAAAATAATTTGAAACATAAATTTATTTTGGATATCATGGTATCAATAGATTTTACATAATATTTTATAATATATTTTTGAATTTTCAATATCATATAGTTCTACTAAGTAGATGGTAGGATGCTGGTTGAAAAGGACATTTTCAAGTAATTAATCTTTTTAGTCTGAGCTATCATTTGTCTTTATTTTAATTCAGAATATTTTATCTTCTCTATTGTAATTTAGCCAAAGAAAAACATCTTTTTATTTATGATAGTATTACAATAAAACTGATTTATGCAAGAATTTCACCAGTTTTTATAAACAATTAAAAGAAAATCATTACTTTAAAAAAAATGAATATTTATACGTAAATATAAATATATTTCTAGACCGGTGGTATGAATGTCTGTATGAGTGACTTAGAATGTATGGGTTTATTGATTGCATGTTTAAGTCATGATCTTGATCATCGTGGAACAAATAATGCTTTTCAAGCAAAAGTTGATGCACCACTTGCAAAATTATATACAACATCAACACTTGAACATCATCATTTTGATCAATGTATTATGATACTACAAACAGAAGGAAATAATATTTTACAAGCATTATCTGCTGATGATTATAAGTTAATTGTTCGTTATATTGAAGCAGCTATCGTATCAACTGATCTGGCGCTTTATTTTCGGTAAGATTACTAAACAATTCAGCGGATTTGTTTCTTTCCTGAAACTTAAAAAACAATATATTATTTCTAGAAAACGAGGCGAATTCCAAAAATTAGTCGATGTTAATGACGAGCATTGGACAGATCCTACAAAAAAAGAACTACTTAGGTATAAAGATATTCATAAAAAGTGAATTGAAACTAGATTCTTTTTTTTTGTAATTATTCAGAGGAATGATGATGACAGGATGTGATGTAGCAGCTATTTGTAAACCGTGGGAACTTCAACAAGTTGTTGCCAAATTAGTTGCAAGTGAATTTTTTCAACAAGGAGATATTGAACGAACTCAATTGCATGTTGAACCAATTGTATATTTGAAGATTTCTTCTTTAGTCGAGATAATTTTCATGTGCTCTTTTTCTTTTAGCCAATGATGGATCGAGAGAAAAAAGATGAATTACCTAAAATGCAAGGTTAGTTTTAGTTTTAGTTTAAAATAATTTACTAGAATGAAAATTGATCTCTTTTTCTTTGCATAGTTGGCTTTATTGATTCGATCTGTCTTCCACTATATAAAGTAAACAAAAATTTGAATTGTTTTCCTATGAAAATTAAATTTCAATATAATTAAATAGATGCTTTCCGATGTTGATCCTGGTTTACATCCACTTTTTGAAGGCTGTAAAAAGAATCGTGACAATTGGGAAAAATTACAACAAGAACATGATAAACTCAGTAAGTGTTTGTCTAAAATTTAGCATGATTCTTCGATTACTATAAATTTCCTAATGTATGTTTGCTTACTTTTTTTCATTTGAAACTTATTCCATCTACGAGTTTCGTTCTTAACTGCATGTTGCTTTCTTCTTGCAATTATTATCCTTAAATATAACAGCAGATAATTGCTTGAATTTCATAAAAAAATCCATTCAAAATTAAATCATTCGAAGCAAAAGCAAACCTAATTTTGTATTGTTGTTATTTTAAATTGTAGAATCATTATGGTCAGACAGTGCCTCTCAGGTACAGAACATTTAATGATTTTAATGAAAAATCCCACCGATGTTGTACTTCACATTGCCATGTGTATTGTATTGTTTTGCTCTATTTTGTGTTTAATCTTTGTTCTTGTTCTTGTACCTGTTTTTCTTTTTTCTTTTGTATTAAAACATTAAAAAAGAACTATTTTCCAGATAAACACCGACATCGGTGGTAATAAATCTGTTTAAGCGTTAAGTATATTTTTTTTATTAACATGTATAACAATAATTATATAAAGAGCATCTTTTGTCAGCATTCAATTATCATTATTTTCATTTAATTACCATTGTTTGTCTTCTTGTTGTTTTGATTTTGTTTATATATTTACCCTGTCATTGGATGGAACGAAATAGGATTCTTTTTTTTTAAACAACAAAATCAAACTTGTTTTTTTTCTTTTGTCTTTTTCTAGGAAGTACTAAAAAAGATAGTTGAAGCCTCAAAACCAGAATTACAAGCAAAAAACTTGGTGCCATCACAATCAGAGTCAACAGCTTCATTGAAAGTACTAAAAACTACTAATGAAAATTCTGTTACTGCTCCGGTATCGAATACCGACACTAAATCTATCAATCGTGAGCAGCAAACAACAACGGTAACAGCACCAATACTTGATCCAGCACTTATAACTACAATACATGCTAATAAAGGCGCAATTGAAACAATACGTGGGCAAATAACAGAATTACGACATGATGTTGATCAGTTACGTGCACTAGTTAAAAATCGAAAACGATCAGCAATCAATAATACAAATGCAACACATATTATTACAAATCAAGCTCAATCACAAATTCTTCCATCCATATCATCTCCACCGCCACCTTCAAACGGTACACGTCATCATGTTGAATCAAAGTCCAATACTAATAATGTTAATCAAGCGTCAGTTTCCCATCATCACCACCATCATCATCATATTGGACAGTCAGGTACAGCAGGACATTCATCTGTTTGCACCATTATATAAAATTAGTATTCTTTTCTGTTTTATTCTGTTTCTATGTTCAGCTATGCTTTATTTTGTATGTATGCTTGCGTGCATATGCAATTATAATTGTTTACCTTTATTTCTTTATTTTTATTTAAAAACGAAGGACACTAGTTTTCCGAAAGTAATGTTTAATTAGTTATGTGAAAATAAAATTACGCGAGCTAATTGGCATTCTAACTTCTAATGAAAGATCAATTTTAGAGAAAAAATATATACATTAGCATCATTTCAAAACAAATTAGTTCTGATCAGAGGTTTTATCAAATTTTAGAAATACAAAATTTTGATTGAAATAATATTTGTTGTTCTCGGGAAAAAATTTCATCAACAAATATGATGAATCAAATTGATATTATCAAGGGAAAACGTACAGTTTATTTGAATTATAACTAAAATAAAGCACTTATTTGAAGCAATTTAATATTCTTAAAAGATATAGATAAAAAGATGAAAAATAAGTTGTACCGATAGCAGATACAAAATCAAATCTATTGTGTCGATTTGGTAATGTGAAGAAAATTTTTCAGTCAGCAAGTATTTCACTGTCATTATTGATTTCATAGAATTGTGTTCATCAAATTGTACGAGAAGAGTTCTCAGTAATTAGTTACCTAGTCAAATGATAGTTTTCAAGCTTTTATTTCAGATATCCACTATTTAATAGAAATAGAAATCATTGTTAGAAACAATAAATAAAATGTTCATATCTTGTACGCATTCACCTGTAGTTTTAGTTGAGAGTTCATCTGGTATATTTTTTGTTTTTTTACTGTATTTGATCATAAATCGAGTAGCATGTGTTTGTCATTGTTCATGGACTTCAATATGAAGTGAATTAATTATATAGTCAATGATCTATTGTTCATAGAAGAGCGATGTGAAGATACATAGAAATTGTGCTTGGCATAGTTCGATATATATGTATATATCTTAAACTTTTTTCGTTAATGTTGCTATATTCATAGTAAATGTTCAAGGATCATCTCTTCCTTGATCTACATTCGTTTCCTAGGAGAAGAACAAATCACTTTAGAGTACTATAACGTAACAATGAAGATTAGTAACTCCACCATTAATAATGTTGACGTTGACAGTGTAATACTTTTCGTTGAAATATTTCTTATAAAAACGACTACTATCATTAATTTATCTACTAATGTTCTATACTAGTATCTAGGTCTCTAGTAGAAAATATCCATCTAAAATAAGAAAACAATTTCACTTATTTACTTGTTTATTGCAAGGTAACTTCAGTTTGTTCTACTAACAAACAATATTTTGATCAATTACTCTATTATCGAAAAATAAATGAAACTTTTGACCATACACTCATGATGGATAGGGCACTTTGAATACTAGTATTTTAACACTATAAAAAAGCTAATGTTGGTAAAAAGCAATCAAACTAGAAAAAAGTATCATTCAATACAAAATATAGCGTTTATGGAAGTATCATTAAGATCCATTCAGAGGAGAAGTACCATTAGTGACTACAAATAAAAACTAACTATACGATGAAAAACGATGACAGAACATATTTTGCTGATGCTAAACATTGAATACTGAGATAAAATTGTAGTTAAGGATAATGATAAATTTGCGTAAATTTGTCTATGTCGAAAAAATCCATTTTTGATTGATAATTATATTTTCATTTGATTCGATATCTGAAAAGAATTTTTGAAATATTGTGACCACAAGACAAATGAAACATTTTAAAGAATTCTATCCGGAGTATCAAGAAATGCGTTTATTTAAACTTTTTGCTCATCAATAATTGTATGATTTTTCTAGCACTAGAACTGCTCATAATTATTATGTAAATTGATCATTTTTAAAGCGATATTTAAAGATGCACATAATTATGAAGTTAAACTAAATTTGAATTAGCTGATATCAAATCTCTAGTATTTGACTTTCAACGTTTTCATAAGTGATAAGATAGTTTCGCACTTAATGAAACCCTTATGTTACAAAAAGATAAGCTGTTTAGATTATTAATATCCGGCTATAAAACTAATACAATATTAATAGTTTAATGCAATCTTTTTCATCGATCGATCCAGCGTTAAATTTTTTTTATAGAAAAATTGTACTCGTATTCCATACTTTTAATCCATATTGTTTTCGAGTTACTTTTCATCCTAAAATAATACAGTTTATACGAATAAAAACAACTTAATCTATTGATGTTCAATTAATGGCGATTAAATTTTGAAGGCAGCAGTAGCGTTTCCAAACAGTATTTAAATATGAATACCGGAACTGAAAAAACAATGAAATAAACTAAATTCAGAAAAAAACTTAATAACGAAAATAAACAAGTCAGTTAATGAATTATTCAAATGACGTAGACAAAAATTTATATTTAGCTCAATACAACAAGCATATCATTAATTCGAATTATTTCTTTGAATATACATTATTTTTTGGTCTAAAATAATTTTTTGTAAAACATCTACTTGCATTAAGTTAATGAATTTTGAGAGAACTCAACGAAAAGATGTACAAAGTACTATTATTTTACTCACTAAAATAATAGCCAGAAGGAACAAGAAATATTATTTTATGAAGTTGAGTGTACAATACAATAACTATATCTAACTGATCCATGTGAGATTTATAATCGCTCGAACAAATGAAAACTTAACTAAACAGCGATATATATTTTAAACAATACGAAGTAATGGGATATTGTAGATCTTTCTTTTCAGTTCTTCCAAAATCAATTAAATTAATGGAAATATTGTAGACAAAGAAATCATGTAACTTTGGAAAAAGATTGAAATTTTTATAGCACATCGCTGTTTGAAGAAACGCCGACTAGTTATTATTACAAATGCGTCATCATTTTCTTCGTAGACGACAATAGTTCTAAAATAAACAAAGCTGCACATCTTTTTAGTATGTTCAGTATTTCGCTGAACGATAGTTCTAATTATTTCTCCTAATTTGTTTTACAGACATATTTTCATTTTCTAATTTTCGAAAACCACCGTTAGATTTATCTCCATACCTGTAAGGTTTTAAACTGAATCGGCTATGTAAATTTTATTTTTAATTTCAATCAACAACACTTTTTGATCTGAAATAAATAGATTTTTAATGGGCAAAATCCTTAGATAATGTCAGACTCATTATAAATACAATAGTAATTATTCTTATATCGAAAATTAACACTAATCTATGAAAATACTGAGTATTATATTCATTGAATAGATAGATTCATTTACTATGTTAATTTTATCAGTAGAATTTCTTTCGAATTCGTTTGATCTAATTGCTAAAATCCTATTGAATTCTATTACTCATAATCAGTATTATTACAAACTTATATTATATTAACATGAAAATAGATCAGAAACTTTACCAGATAAATATTTATTCAAACCTTGTATATTAGTTAACTTTTAACAAGAATGAAAACAGCAAATCATTCAGATATATAGTACACCGATGTGAATTTCCAGTAAAGTTACACTTGAAATTGAACGATTTCATTGTCATACAGCTATACTCCTTTTGTTTTTAATAAGATCACTATAGTAAAATTGATCAACAAAACTGAAGTAAAAAATGATGCTAAAGATATGCACTTTTACATTAGAAAAAAGAATTAGTTCTTCTTATTCAATTTAAAGATAATAATAAATGAATAAAATAATATTATAGCTATTTACTTTTTCTTTGATGCAATAGAATGACTCAAGCACTTCGTCTTAATAATTTTATGATAAATTAGCTTTCTATTTGACTTATACTGAAAAAAAGAATTTTTCTAAGGAACCATAATGACAAATTGAATATTTAACAATGATGTGTTATATTTAATAAGTCAAAATATAATTAAAATTAATTGATAAACGACGAATAAGCAAAGTTCTTTGTCTTTTTAATGTTTGTAATGTTAAACAATTAATAGACATTTTCCTTAAAATATTAAAAAAATTTAAGTCCAGCTTGAGAAAAATGTTCGTTGTGAATATTTTTTTCATTTTAAAGGAAAAAAATTAAATTATTTGTAAATTCGAAAGGGTAGTTTTTCAGTACAGCTAAATATATAACCGCCATGCATGGCACGTTTTGAATAAGAATGGATTTCTTTCTTCTTTTCAACAAGCCCCCGTAGCTCAGTTGGACCAGAGCGCCGTACTTATACACAGTATCGGAGCAATGCGGATGTCGTGAGTTCGAGCCTCACCGGGGGCATCTACTCTTTTTCTTTTTATTCTGCTTGTTCGACGTTTTCATTCTTTTATTTCAGTTATATAAGCTCTTTTGCCGAAGTCTGCGTTTCATCGAATAGAAATGATTGTGGTCTAAGCTGTATGTCATATAAGATTTTATTCATTTTTTTATGAAGATTTGAATCAGGAAAACGATGAGACTAGAAGACGTTTTGCAGTTCATATTTTATGTAACCGAAGTCTATTGCAACGTGATAAGAAAACTGTCTTATACAATCATGAGATGTAGATAAAGGTGGGATTTAATTATAAGTGTAATTGCAATATCGATATCGACAAATGCTAATGGTGCATTTAAATGAACTAAAAATTATCTGCTAATGAAATATTAATATTCACTTTCATTGAAAAATTTTAAGAAAAATATTTTTCGAAATTTTGATTGCAACTAAGCCAATAAGATTGACCTGGTAAATAATAGATACTAGCAACAATTTTAGAGCAATGTTTAGATTAAGATGATAATCTAATAGGTCCTAACATGATTTCATTCAACATGAAGAGTAACAACATTTGAACTTTTATATATTTAAATAATATTGAACATTGAAACAGTTCGAAAAAACATGAACAGAAAAATTGCTATTAAAATCGCTTTTACAAATGAAAATGGTGCACAATAATACGAAATTGCATTTGTAATTCTTCTAATAAATTCTAACAATATTTAATAATAATTGACTTAACCTCATACTTTCTCTGACTAACAAAATGGATTCGCTTTGTTTAAACGATCGATTTTATTTTTTAGAAAAACAAAACACATCAAGATATATTCTTGTAAGAACATATCATGTATGATTGACCGTATTGGTAATCGTTCTACGACTGCCGAATATACTTCAAGCATTGGACACGATCTTTACATCAGAATTGTTTAGTATTATAAACTTATTCAACTACTTTATCAATCGATTATTGTCTAAGTCAGACCATTAAAACAATTCGAAATCGATGTACTCCTCTAAACTCACAACTATAACTGATTCTGGTGTTTCAAAACATTTTTGTGATTTTGTTTAAAGTCTCGTTATCTAGTGTATTTGGCTTTTGAGTTGATCCACTAGCGTAATTTACTATCAGTATGTAACATTAAATGAAGACTTTCTATTAGTTTTCATTCTTTTCCTTCTTACAAACACGTACTCTTGACAGAATTTGTTTTGTTGCTTGAGATGATTCGTATTCCGAAAAGACTTGTAGTGATCTTATAAAACTTTGCTGTAATATATTTATATAAACTAATGCTAAATAATTAAAATAGAATATGATCTGCAGCACGAGTCTAACTTGACATGCTTTTGCATAGTATTCGTGTGGATAGTAGTGACTTAACAGAGTATGGTAATCTCATCGATGGAATCTTTGGAAAATTCGATGATAGCGTGTCTTTATTCGTATAACTAAAATCTACTGTTCAAGAAAACATTTCTTGAAAAACATCCTGTTTCTTCATCTTTATGCATAATAAGCAAGTATTTCTGTGATAAGCCATGTCGATCTAGTATTTTATTATAATAATCACGTATAAACAATTCAAAAAATCTGTATATTTCATAGAAAGAAAAGACAAAAACAATGAAAAGTATGTTGATATCGCTTTTCTGAAGATTTACATGGAGAATTATTTAACTCAATATAAATGAATGCAATAATATTATGATAATGATCATCTACATCATCATTGTCAAGAATAGCAAACTGTTGTTCTTGTTTCCATGGAATGATCTAACTCGATAACTAATTGAGATATTGTCGTATATAATTTGCTTAACATTTTCGACAACGATAATTTGATGCATTTAAAACATTCAATGAATAATCGTGACAAAGCAACATGTCTAATATATCAAATAAGTTGTGGTGATAAATAGATATTCTATATATGATGATCATCAACAAACAGCAAAAAATTAAAAGAAGACAATGAGTACATTTACCTTTGAGTGAAAAATAGATCTGTTCGGAGTGGGATCATTGGATTTTTCAAAAACGAATAATACTAGCATTCAATAGAGTTTCGCAAATTACTGAAGAGATTAATAATTTAGATAGACACGGTGAAAATGTATTCATCATATTGAATAATCTATCATATATTACATATATTCAAAAATATAACTGACAAGAATTATAGACAAAAAAAATGAAGCAATAGAAAACAAGTCTATTGGCATATAGAACCTCGTCCACATCCAAATCCGAAGGATATATCTAGAAAATATCAATTTAAAAAGATTCTATTGATTTAAGTAATCAGAATAGAACTCACTTTTATTAGTTATCGATGTTGTCGATGATGTTGCATTAGCAGTGATCCTTATTGAATTCTTTTCATCATCTTTTATTTCTTTTGCTTTTGATAAATCCATTTGTAATGGATTAATATCCATTCGATATCCACGACCAATTCCAAGTCCTGCATGTTGATTATTCTTTCTCGTGTCTAATGCACCAAGTCGCTGTGAAAAACAAGAAAGTCTCGATGAAATCGATGCGGCTGATGAAAGATGAAGAGGAGATGCTACACGTTCATCATCAAATGAATTATTTAATGATTCTATTAATGATCGAGGACGTTCGATTGAAATATAATTACTATAGCAAGTAGTTAATAAATCAGATATCATTTCAGCTCCTTTAATTAAAAATAATACGTTTTACATTCTATTTGTTTCTATTTAGTTTCATACTTTCTTCGTCAATAAATGTAATTTCAATCGAACATCGATCATCGGAAAAGTTCTTCTTTGTAATAAAGATTTCATTGGTATCAAACCATGAATTAATTAATTTTTCTGTTAATTGATTTCCATTAATTGATTTTAAAATCAATGTTTCGCTCATTTTTATTTCAATTTTTAACAGAAAAAAAAAGAAAATCTTCTTTTCATTTTACTCGAACCATTTTCTAGATTAAAAACCTCCTTAATTTTGCAAAGATGTCGTTACTTAATGTATAAAACATTTTTTAAACAAGTTAACTATGAGCAATTTAAAACAAGAAAGAGAAGCGATAAAAAAAGCGCATCTGCGGCTGCTATTGATTCATCATCAGGATGACAAATCGATTAAAATCAAGTCCAGTACTATTATTTCCTTGAATTAATAATTCTTTAACAACGAGTTCATATTGCTCATCGTCAAGTTGATTAAAAAACGAAGTTTCATATCGAAGTTTATCCATATCTTGTCGTGTTATTATTCCATCGTGATCTCGATCAAAAGCATCAAATGTTTTACGTAATTCTTCATTTAATTCTGACGAGCCAACATAACGAAGCATTAGCGTTGAATATTGATCAACTGTTAATTCAGCTTCCTCGACATGATCATCTGTTTGTTCAAGAATAGTTGTACGAATTAAAGTTGATGCTTCATCGGGGTGTAAATCTATACCTATTTTTTTTAAACAGAAATCATGAATCTGTTAAAAAAGAATGTTTCTTTTGTATCTTTTTACCGACAGATTTGGCAATATTACAAAAGTCATCTTCGTTAATTAAACGATCCTGATCTCGATCAAGTAGAAAGAAAGCTTCTTCAACTGCTCGAATGAACTGCCAGCTACCAGTTGTTGTATTATTATTATTATTAGTAGTAGTAGTAGTAGTAGTAGTAGTAATGTTATTGTTTGGCATAGTTACATCTATTTTTCCATACGCTTACCTGGAAAAATCAATCACTCAAAAAAAAATATAAATAAAATGAAATGGTAAAATCCATTATGGGTATGAGCATGTGGTTTGCGTTATAAAATGGAAAGAAAAAGAACAACGAGAAAAAGTATTCATCGACGTAAAACTCAACACAAAGAACGAACATAAAAAGTTACTGAGTTTAGTCTATTTAAAAATCTATCACTGTCTATTTATATAATTACTTACTTCAGTGAATTTTCAACAATCAAGTTGAATGATAACTAAGATGACTTTTTTCAAAAAAAACAACAAAGAGTCTTTTTGATAGTAATGAATATTGTAAGAAAAATGAATGCTAAATTCACATATAACAACATATCATAGGTGAATCTTTTTCTCTTGTACTGTATAATCAAAGAAAAAAGAAATAACGCAAATAATGATAAAGAAAAGCATACCTAATCATTAAAAATAAATAGCACGCAAGGTTCTTTTTTATGATAGGAATATGTCCTTCACAATATTTACGCAGGTAAAAGGTAAGTAAATCGAAAGTTTTTATCCTTAGTTATCTATCGGTTGTCATCAAAGCATTCACAGTGATAAAAAGTATAAAATTTTATTCAAGAAATATTTTAATGCATAATCAAAAATATCTTGTTTGTTTTAATTTTTGTCTATTTTCATAACAAGTATTTGTTGATGATTAAAACCACAATATAGTTTTATAACTTTTTCAGGAGAGGCACTAAAAATGTGTATCAACCTCAAATATGACTTCACATATTTTATATCGTATTTGTAATATAATGCATTCTAGTAGATTGATTCACGTTTATCCATTCAATTCTATTTATTTTCCTTATGAAATTCAATATTTATGGTTTTTCATTGTAGATAGCAGTAACTGTATGTGCATATGTCGCTTAAATTTCTCGAACGATTTAACCTTGATTAAACTACTTTGATCCAATCTTATATTTGTCTTTGATTTCTTGTCGTATATTTTAACACTGTTTGAATCAAGCAATAATTGACAAGGGAATGCATCTGAATATTGAATTTGATTTTTAGTTTTACACGTAAAATAAAGTCTTGATCACGTAGACTACAATTTAATGAAAACAGTGATAAAATTTTATCTTTTTACCTCTATCATACATGATAGTTATCTATACATTGAATTTGTTTGCTCTGTACAAATATAGAGAAATGAAAAAAGTGCCGCCTAAAAAAGGACTCTTCAAAAAGCGTAAGAAGTATCGGAATCGTTGTAAAAATCCAGTTCATTGCTATTCTCAGTTAAAAAAGCAACATGATGGACGCTGAGTAATATTAATACGATGTGAGAAAATATCAAGGGGGAACAAACTGATTTCTTGATTTCTAGTGATTTCTATGACTGGAAATCAGTTTTGATATGATCATTGCAAACCAGCAGAAATCGTTGGAAACGTTCAGAATTGTTGAAAAATTATGAGAAATCAGTAGAAATCAACAGTGGTCACTGAAAACATTTCACATTCTGAAAAAAAAAGGAAATTAGTAAAAATCATCAGTAATCAATAGAAATCAATATTTTCTTTCGCTATATAGTTCGAGAATTTCTGTGATTTCCATTTATTTCCATTTGTTTTCTTGTAAATTTCTAACAACTGCGTCGTTATGCACATCTTTAATGTATGATGATTTCCAGTGATTTCTGGTGATTTCCATGCCTGTAAATCAGTTTGTTCCCCATTGGTGTCGACAATAAAAGCCGTACCGATATTGAGCACTTTTCATACTGGTATGGCATACTTGCCAAATGCATCATTTTTTAATTCCTGGGGTACCCTTCAGACATTCGTGAAATTTGTTTTTCATCTCTGATGTTCACAGATAAATAGAAAAAGATGTATTGATCAAAAACATTGTATTTTTCTGGAGGCTTGTCTCTTCATGCGAGACATATAAACCACATTTGAAATAGCCATAAATTAGTTGTTACTGGGAGAGACCACAAATCTATGTGAACGGTTCACTCAAATTGAGCCTGTTCGACGCAGAATCATTTACTCTACAAGAATATGCACGAAGATCTACATATAAGAATGCTCCTAGATTGATAATGGTCAAATACCGCCCCCAATCGGCCCAATGCTGTAAACAGTGATTCCTTGAACTGATAAAACCCATGGCTGCATGAGTGAATCAAAACGATTTTCACTCAAAGCTGATAACTCGGCAAGTTCTTTCTAACGGGCGTTTCGTTGACACTTCTCAAACAATTCTTACATGCTTCAATGAAAGATAATCGATAAAAAATGAGTTTGGTTTAAACGATCACAAAACACTCCGATAAACTGCTAAGAATGATCTGTACAAAAAGAGCTCATCGATTTATCTATTGTAAGTGAAAACCACATTGTTTTCTTCTCGTTTTCTGTTACACCGTAAGCTCACTGTTTATAGTATTGAACCCAATGGGAGCGGTGTTTGACCATTATCAACCGATGAGCATTCTTATATGTAGGTCTTCATGCATATTCTGATAGAGTCAACGATTCTACGTCGAACAGGTTCAATTTAAATGAATCTTTCACATAGATTTGTGGTCTTTTCCACTAACAGATTTTGGGCCTTCCAAAAGTGGTTCATATGTCTCTTATAAAGAGACAAACCTTCAACAGCACATAATGCTTGAGATCAATACATTTCATTCTATGTATTTATGAACAACAGTAATGGTAAAAAAACAAAAACTTTTTCACGGGTGTCTGAAGATACTCCAGAAACGTAAAAATGATACTTTTGCAAAGTATACCTTACGAATATAAAGTCTCCGGCTTGATACGGCTTTTATTATCGACACTAATTGTAGCTTTATTTAGCATCGACGACGAATTTTCATCAAACGTCGTTATTAGCGACATTTTTTATAGATGTTGGATGTCACCTGTTGAACTTTTCTGGCTTATTACGCTAAAATTTGTTTATCATCAATACGTGCAGCATGATAGAGATCTATATACTCTACAGCATTGTTCAATAGACCTTTTCTGTATTTCTTAAAGAAAGCGTGTCCTTTGGTCAGTTATATGACAAAGAGAACGCATAATAAGAGACATGGTACATCAAGTCCTAGATATCGAGGTTGAACGAACACTATGTAGTAGTTACTATTCAATCATGTTTCATTCATCTATAAGATTTTTCGTACTAATTTATGATTATTTTATGAAATAACGAATATAAGGAGTTTTCAGTTGTTCTACAATTAAAACTTCTAGCGACTGACTACCGAACGAGTACTAATTTTGCGATAAATTTCATAGAAATTGAATAAGAATAAAAGAATATTGCATATTTATCTCTTATGTCTAATAATTTGAAAAAGTTGAAAAATGTTATCTAAAATGATCTCTTGTGATTTCTGATGATGTCTAGCATTAGAAATCAGTTTTTCCCCCGTAGAAAATATTGTCAAAATGCTATCAATTTTTTAAATGTTGAATATCTCTTCATTTGTAATTCAACTAATACAATAATATCTGCAATCTAGTTTCTAAGCGCCAATACATAGAATATGTTAATATTAAATTCTGCAACTGAAAAAATAGCGAACAAAAGATTATCTCTTTGAATGTCCAGTTGAATAATTGGGTAAAAGAACCAGCTGAATATGTGTAATCAGTGGTGATTTCCTAAATGCTACCTCATACTTATCTGTGAGTTCCAAATTTTTGACATCACTATTTACAATGACGATTTCAATGTAGATAATACTCACATAAATGTTGCAGACAATCAGTAATGCTGACAAAATACTGTAAGATGCATATTGTTCATCATTGAAGAGTTTTGTCGAGGGGTTGAGCATTGAGTGTATGCAACAGAAAAAAGTATAAATCATTTTGTGCACGGTCTAATTTAGTAAAACTACTCCAGTCAGGAAATCCGAGATGAAATAGACACAGAATGCAAAGAAATTTTGCAAATAATAAACAATTTAGACCGACAATATGAATGAGATTAAAAGTTTGTTTAGCAAAATAGAATTATATAGATGACTAGTTTTCAAGCATCAATAGCAATACTAAAAATAATCTTTCAATAGTAAATACGACACAATCTAGAGTTAGTGGAGGAGAGAAGAAAAAATAATTTTGGAAGTTGTTTTCCAATCGTAATTTTTTCTCAATAAATAATTGCTACTTTACTGATTGAAATTTAGTTGATTGACAAGTAATGAATATTATATCTACCCAAAGAAATATAATTCCATTTTGTCTATAATGAATATAAAATCGCTTTGTCGTTGGTATAATAAAAATAGATATAAAATTCTATTGTCTTCTATGCAAACCTTGAAAACTATTTAGAAGTGCATGTTAATAAATAAATGATTGCTTGATCTATTTACTAGAGAATAGGCAATGATGTTTCTAGATTTTTTTTCTATTTTGATTAATTAGATTTGTGATCAGAAATTTTCTAATCCCGTATAATACAAAACATAACTTTTTTAAGTAAATTATTCAAATAATTTTATGAAATCTTGTAATAGGTTAACTGACGATTAATACTAAGCTACTGGCAATATTGAAAGGTCAACATCATTCCTGTGCTCTACTTTTCTATTGATTTCAAAAGAAAATTTTCTATTGTCTTCTTATTCGTTTATGTTCACGAACAAAAAAAAACCACTGAAACGATAATGACTATGGTATATATTTTATATATTTCTATTCATAAATCGATCTTCTAATCGGAATATTAGAAAGAATACGTTTACGTCAAATAACGTTCATAAGTCCATTGCTTTCTTTGATTCTACTAGCTACATCCGAAAGGTTTTTAGAGTTGCTGAAAAGGTTATTTTCTATTCTACTCCACTATTACACAATGACTCAATACGAATATTGAACAAAGTTTTAATTACAGTCATCGTTTATTCATAAACAAATTCATAATTTCTCTTGAGAATCATCATTATCTAGAAAATAAACTGTATTCTCTTTAATTCAATTCTGTTTTGTTTCAATGAATTTCTTGTAAACTTTATTCTTTATAGCGTCTAACTCTTATTACCTCTATAAATAGTAAATAGTCTGAAGGTGTGCTAATATCTTGTGTTGTACCAACTAATAGTGTGATCTTTCTTTTCTTTATGTACTATTTACAGATGTATTTCTGATAAGAAAAAACAAAGAAATCCTAAAGAAAAAAAACGTGCCTAATCTTCAAAAGAAACATCATATAAACTAACTGACATCAGAGAGTATTATATATCGTTTGCAATATTTGCCCCTTGTAAAACAATAAAAAAAAAAAGAAACAGAAATGAAGACTCTTCATTTAGTTGTCTTTCATCTAATTATTTTATCTACAATCAGTCAATCACCCGATCAGCTTTATGATGAATTATTCGAAGCTGTACAAATTCAACGTTTATTTTCGGATTCAAAAACATTTTGTGATGCTGTTCCACGTACACTTGGTTCAAATCAAATACTTGATTTATACCGAAAAGAATATAACAATCCAACATTTAATTTAACTTCATTTATTTTCAATAATTTTATTATACCAAACACAACAAGTATTGTACATGAAAAATGGACGATAGAGCAACATTGCCATCGTTTATGGCCATTATTAACACGTACAACAAATCATGAAAATTTCTCATCGTTTATTGATGTTCCATATCAATTTGTCATACCTGGTGGACGTTTTCGAGAATTTTATTATTGGGATACTTACTTTACTATGCTAGGTCTAATAAGATCAAAGGAAGTACAATTAATAGATAATATGTTAGAAAATTTTGCCTATTTAATACGTACACTTGGACATATACCCAATGGTAATCGATATTATTATGAAGGAAGATCTCAGCCGCCATTTTTCTCGTTAATGACTGAATTAGCAAGTAAAACAGATAAATATAAAGATGAATTAGAAAAAGAATATCAATTTTGGATGGATAAAAGAAGTATTAAACTAGATGATGGATCAATTTTAAATCGATACTATGACGATTTAAACGCTCGACCCAGACCAGAAGCATACATTGAAGATATAGAAATAGCACATAAAAAGAATAATACGGATGTTTATGTTCATCTTCGTGCAGCTGCTGAATCCGGTTGGGATTTCAGTTCTCGATGGATGGAAGATGAAAAAGATTTATCAACAATAATAACAACAAATATTCTTCCTGTTGATCTTAATTGTTTATTATATCACTTGGAACTAGCATTGAATAAAAAACTTCAAGCTGAAAATCGTCGACGAGCCATACATAAATACATGTGGTCTGATGATCTTCAATTTTTTACTGATTATAATTTCATACGAAAGAAACCAACTAATCGTTTAACGTTGGCTGCTCTTTATCCTCTATGGCTTGACATTGCAACAAAAAATCAAGCTCAAAATGTTGCTCGTCAAGTTGAGTCATTGTTTTTACGTGATGGTGGTGTAGTTACAACAATATCAAATCAGAGTACACAACAATGGGATAATCCAAATGGATGGGCTCCATTGCAGTATATTACATATCGAGCTTTGCTTAAAACTCCAGGATATGAATCGTTAGGTGAAACTATTCGTCGACGATGGATGGCTTTGAATGAAAAAGTATTTCAAGACACAGGTAAAATGATGGAAAAATATGATGTTGTTAATATCAATCAATCAGCTGGTGGCGGAGAATATAAAACACAAGATGGTTTTGGTTGGACAAATGGAGTTTATTTAGAAATGCTATATGATCAACAACCAATATCGAATACGGTTTTATATCGAAAAACTATTTTTCAGATTAGTAGCTTGATATTTTTTATTTTTATTTCACGATAAAAATAGCGAAATTTCACTGTTAAGAAGCTTAACATTCGCTTTCTAAGAGTTCATAATATCATCATTAATGATTGGTTCATTTGACACGATCATCCAATCGAAGAACGAGTAATATCGATCGATTAAACAATCCCTAGAGGCAACAGCATAAGAAAAGGATCCAATTAGACTCTTGTGTTAATCCTTGAAACGTGCTCGAAGAATAAACTTGTCATGAAATAAATAAGCTCTGATTGATAAGAATATCTTTTGTCAGAATGAAAACAACGAACGAAATAAACGCCAGCTGGCCAACAGATTATCTTTTAGAAGGAAAACAAAATACTTTCTAATGATTGGATCCTTTTTGTTATTTAAGCTCAATTAGTTGACCGTCCTCTTTGATCAAACCATTGAATGAATATTGTCTTTTCTTTATTGAGTGACAACTTCCTTTTCCATATTGATTTATTCTTATTGGTCGCATTGAAATTTACATGATGAAGAGTGAAAAAGAGGAGGTGCTGATATAAATTCGCATCCTCTGCAATAATATGATTGCTATTCTCTCTTGTCGTTTTGCCTGTGCACTTACGCGATTTTTTTTTGATGGCACTTGACGGTCAACTGCCACATATGAAAATGAAAAACGAGAGAGCAGTAACAGAAGACCAATCCAAACAAAAAAAAATGGTCATTTGAGAATATCGTTAAAATTCATGATTCCCTATGGTGCATTTGCAGTCGAACTAGACAAGTTCTCATTCATAGCATTGAGTGATATTAATAACAAAGGCCCATCTAACAAAAATGTTCTTTCTCTCTGCGTGTCGATATCTTTCAACAGTTTCTCGAACAACTAATATCATAATAATGACTTTTAGATATAAATACTCTATTGTTTTAGTTTATAAAACCAATCATCAAAGGTTATTGCATATATAGAAAGAAAATCTATTCATTCTATAGTGAGAATAGATTGAACTAATTGTACCCGCCTTGCTGTTATCGATTCATTTAATTAATTTCATCTTCATTGTCAAATCAACGAAGAGTACAAAGAATTTTCTTTTCTCATCTATTCGATTCATATTTCTTCATCATTAAGTATGATATGCACACACAAATGATGATCATGAAGACACACACTTTCTCTTTCTTTCTCTGTTTCTACTGTGTAATTGCTTCTTTTTAACGAATGAATACTTTTTTCCTTTTTTTTTCTTTGTTTCTTTAGAAAGTTGATGAACAAATAATGATAAGAAACGCCATTTGAACTGACGAATGAGAATTAGCAGCTGTTACGTATCAAATTTGTTCATCAACTCATTCTCTTCTTCTACGCCGTAGGCTAAACGAGAAAAAATATATCCAGATCATTCGTTCTTCTTGCCGCCCACTTTTTTTTCTGTTCTCTTCCATTGTAATCAAATATAGAAGCACGCGGGTTTTTTTTCCTTCGCTTTCTTCAACTGCTTGTGTATGTTCACCCCATCATTTTCTACATATACATACATGTACGAGACGGACCGAGAGCGGGCACATACATATGTATATATTAGTCCAACCGAGAGTAAACAGGGACCGCTTGATGCGCATTGACCAATTAATTGCTTTTTTTATTGGATAAAACATAGGAGGAAACTGAATTTTATTGGTTGTTCACATAAGCCCACACGAGGAAAGAGAGTAAGGACAGTAAGAAAGAAAAAGAGAAAGAAATGAACGAGCAAGAACGTTCAATGCATTCACTTTTTTCTCTCTTCGCCGACAGACATACACATCGACAAAAACGTTGTAAGGACAGACATGTCACCAACGTGTATGATCAAACCGAAACAGTCAATGCATCAACAGAAGTCTAAATCGAAATCTTTAAAACATAAATTAAGTTCGTAATACATAATAAAAATCTATTATCACTAATGCACACATGAACTTTGTTGTAGATCAAGATATCGAAGAATCTATCATGGTAACGAGAAAAAAACATGAAAATGAAGAATATCTCTATGTTGAATTAGATACAAAATGCAGGTAAAAACTATATATATATATATATATATTTAACACATCATTCCGATTCCGATACTTATATATTTTGAACTTGTTCGTTTATTTAGTTGTTTACAATCAAAATTTCTTTGTGATTCATCAATTCAAGTACAGTAT